TGAAACCCAGGGATGCTGTTCTCATCAAAACACCTACACACACTCACAAGCATGCATGCACACACTATATGTGAGCACACAAAATCTTGTATACAGTTTCACAGGTTTATAGACTCCCTGAAGATCAAGCTGTAGATTTCAGGTTGAAAACTTCCATCGCTAGCCAGCTATGTGACACCCCACCCCACCCCCACTGATCTCTCCGGTAAAGATGAGGACGATGGAGATAATAGCAAGTTGGGTGGAAATTACAATCTCTACTCCCAGCAGATCTGGTGATTTTCTACTACTCGAGAAATGACTGGGGCAAACCAAGAAGCTATTTGTCTCAGGCTCTGCAATCTAAGCAAAGTTTCAAAATGTGCTTGGGCGATTTTACTGGAGAGATCTATTTCCCTTGAACTGAGTGGAAAATAAAGTTAAGATTAATGGTGTCAAGGGTCAGCTATGGTTTGTCCTGGTAGGAATGAATTTCCCCAGAACCTGCTGTAATTGGCAGCACTGCACAGAGGTTGGAACCTACTACTAACCTGCTTGTGAGTTTGGTGCCAGAGCAGGTTAAACAACAGACGCTGTCCTGGAGAGCGCCTTTTCCTGAATCTTTCTAACAGGTCACACTGATCGACCTCTTCTTGGATGGGTGAAGAGGTCCCCTGTGCTGGGCCCTGTGAGCCCTCTGTCCTCTTGGCAGACATTCCTTGTCTGGACGGCATTTCTCCCTCCAGAGAGGCTCCACCCTGAATCTAAAAGTGGCTTCAAACGGTCTGTGTTGCCCTTTGGGTCTCAGAGGGAGGCACTTGGGACAGTTCATTCATTACGTGATACAGGAGATTAACTGGAGACCAGAGGGCTCAACGGAAAACGTTCTTGACTCATTTCCAGTTGGAAAGGCTTGTTTGAAAGATGCATCAGCCAGTTGCTCGTAGCCTCTTGAGTCACAGCAGATCCCCGGTCACAGGGGCCTCTTTCTCGGGAGAGGTGTACAGAACTTGGGCTTGTTATTCCCCTCTCTGTGCCTCAGGTTCTGTATCTGGAAAGTGGAGATAATAATATTACCCATTTCACAGGGTTGTTTTAAGGGTAAAATGAGTTAGTATTTGTAAAGTGCTTAGACTAGTGCCTGGCGTATACATAATAAATGCACAAGATGTATTAGCTATTGTCACTGCCATTGGTATTATTAATGCCTTTGGGGTAATAGTTTCGGTTTGCAGAAGTGTTAAGGAAGCCCATTGGGAAGTCATCATAAGTTGCCAGGACTGGAAGGGTACACAGCCTTGAAGCTTTGGTCCCTTTTAAGGTGCGAAGGACCCAGAGGGAAGGAACTGGGCACACTCGTGGGATAGTTGTCCTGAAGTGAAGTGTTGGCATCATCTTTGCAATTCCGGATGGCTGAATGCCATCAGCACTGGGAGTTGGTCTTTCTTCATGAGATTAAGATAAGTGTGTGCTGTGGAATTTTCACATTTGCATAGAATACCTTCATTCCTGGGGCAGCCCTTGGCTGGTACCTCCTGTATGTCGGGCCCTGTTTAAGCCTTGAAGTCCAGGGAGGCTGAAGGTTGAGTTTACCTGTTTCTTCCTGTCTTGGCTGAGCAGAGCACACACAACCACGCACTACTACTTGCATGCACACATATAGACACACTCACACGATGCATGCGTGTCTTGTCTATAAGGTTACGTTGGCTGTGGCACAAAGGATTTTATTTGAAAAGTCGCAGCCTGACTGGGTTCCTGTTGCATTTGCATCTCTGTGCGCCAGGTAGCAAACTAAGATTGATTTAAACAGACTGAAACTGCCATTGAGTGCCAAACCACGGTCCATGCCTTAGAGTTTATTTTTAACCTGTGAGTGACAGCAGCCACCTGGCTGAGCGCTGACAGGCAGTTGGCCTCCCTTGCCACCTGCTGAAGTCTCCCCTATCAGCCTCGCTTCCCAGAAGCAAATCGGGAGGCTTTGTTGTTCTTTGGTAGGCTTGACAACGAGAGCTCCGGAAGGTCTGCCACCCAGCGTGACAGTTTCCCTTTGCTAAGATTGACCAACCGAGGCCAAAGCTGAAAATGTCAGTAAAAACAAACAGTATTTCAAAAGGGCCTTGTGCATTTCCCTCCTCTGGGCTCCCCTTGCTTCATCAGACACGTGCCGTGTGACTGGCTAAGGAAGGACACCATTACACCCAAAGAAGAATTGATCTCACATGACAACACTTGTTCTCCATTTCACCTACTTCTGATTGTTTTTGAGAAGCACCTACATGCTAGGGAAACAAACAAAAGCAAAGAAAATCAGTGGAGATTGGCTTGTGTCTTTTCAGAGCTTCATTCCTTGTTTCTTCTTTTGCTGTTTTCAGAGTCAGGAAAGAGCATCCAGAAGTTTTAACAGTTCTCTTATCATCTCGTTTTGCACTTGTCTGACGCTGGTTCCTAGTGGTTGGAACCTGCCTCCTGCTCAAAAGGAGAGGGTGGCCGTCGCTTGTACAACTCAAGCCTACTGACCCCCTGATGTTCTTATGTCACAATAGCTTGGGCACACCTCTCGCCTTTCGAGCAAAACCTTGCTCCAGTGATGCAGAAGGATCCTTGGGCAGATGGCAAAGTGGTTTGGAAATGGGTCTGACATCCAACAGAACTAATATGAAATTCCAGCTCTGCCACTTAACAGCTGGGCAACCTTGGAAAGTCATTTAACTTTTCTGAGCATTGGTTTCTTCACCTATAAGTAGTAGGTACTTACATACATGAAACTCACCTCTTAGGGTGCTCAGAAGCTAATGCAACACAGAACCCCAAAGGGACAGTGCAGTAATAGGCTTCCCCTACCCAGGCTATTGGCTCAGAATTGTAGAACAAAGCAGTTGAGATTTTGAAAGGTGACTATAGGCTTTGGGCAGAAATCCTCACTTCCATGGGCAACTCAGTTCTCTGAGTCTCAATTTTCTTGTTGACTAATATGCAGAATCTTGCTGACGACCTCCGGACCTGCCCGAGAGAGAGAGAGAGAGAGAGAGAGGAGAGAGAGAGAGATTTTGAGTTAAAGCAAGTTCTGCCACAATCCAGACCTGGCTGGTAACTAACAAAGTGGTGCCCAGCCTGGCACAAGGTCCACCGTGGGGTAGGCCCCGAGGAAGTGGCAGTAAGCGTCCGTCGAGCAGGACTGTCTTTGAGGTTCACGGAAGTACTCGGGAGGAATTAGCTTCACCAGGACAGTTTCAATAACTTACCCTTTCTGTGTTGGAGCTTACTCAAGTGCAAACCAGGATAACACAGTCCCAGAAAAATAATGAGCTTTCAATGAAGGCCTTTTAACTCTTTTGAGAGTGTTACAGAGAATCCTATAGAACCAGAAGACTTTTCAGCTCCTTATTGAGATTTCAGATTAATGTCTGCAAAACTCACAGAAATCCTTGGATTAAATCACTTTCACCAGCACGTACCAGTTAGGCTTCGTGTTAAATGCCATTAACTCTTGGGAGCAAAAAAAGAGGTCTGTTGGATCTATCTGTGAAGAAATGTCAAAGAGTCACTCTTTCATTCAACAGTAGTCTTGAGCATCTCTCTCTGTCGGGGACTGTTGTGAGCATGAGAACACAGCTGAAATCAGGGAAAGAGCTGGGCTTTTGGGGGGGCTTCCGTCACAAAAAGGGCAGATGGATAGTAACTAAATGCACAAATAAATAAATGAAGACACAAACGCAAGTTGAGGTGAGGGAGATGCTTCAGGTTGGATGAGAGTGTTCGGGGAGGACGCTTCGAGGGGTATGGAGCTGACAGACGCGAGTGTGATTGTCTGAGGACAGAACATTCCAGACGGAGGGAAAGGCAGACATAAACGATCCAAGGTGGGAAAGAGCTCAGAACGCCCAAAGGAACTGAAGGGAAGCTTTGTATCTGGAGCAGAGTGAGGTACTTCAAGTCTGGAGAGGGACATAGGAGCCAAAACAGTAGATCTTATCAGCCATGATACGGAAATTTATTCTGGGTGCAACCGGGAGCCATCGGAGCATCTAGGCAAGAGAGCGAGAGCACGTGATTGTGGGAAAATGCTCATAGCATAAGATTAAGTAGGAAAAACAATGCCCGAATATATTTAGTATCATGTATATTTAGTATAATTTTAACTAGAAACACATACACATACTTAGAAAACAAACTGAAAAAGCAAAATGTTTAAAATGTTAGTAGTATTTTCTTGATGGTGGACTTGCTTTTCCTTCATTACTCACCAGAATTTTGTAAGTTTTCTACAAGTTTGCATTGCTTTAATAATCAGAAGTAAATCACATGCTTTTCTTTTTAAAAATGTATTCATTCACCTACTGAGGGATATCTTGGTTGCTTCCAAATGTTGGCAATTATGAATAAAGCTACTATAAACCTCTGCATGTAGGTTTTTTTGTGTGGACATAAGTTCTCCGCTCCTTTGGGTAAATACCAAGGAACATGATCGCTGAATCACACAGTAGGAGAATGCTTAGTTTTGTAGGAAACCGTCAAATGGACTTCCAAAGTGGCTGTACCATTTGGTAATATCCCAGTGTTAAAAGATAAGCGAGGCTTATTAAACATTTTAAGAGTTTATTTGAGCAAAAAATCTATTTCAATTAGGCAGCGCCAAACCCAAAGTGGTTAGGAGTGCTCCCAATCATATGCTTTTAGAAAAATTTGTTCTAGGCTGGAGAAGGCAGGAGAGGGCTGGGAGTAGGAAGGAGGGGGGTCAATGGGGGAAAACGGGGAACATCTGTAATACTTTCAACAATAAAAAAAAATTTGTTGTGCAGCAGTCGATGGAAAGAAAGTAAGAGTGATGCGACTTAACTGTGTCATTTCAGATTTGAGCTTAAGGTAATGGTGCTTTGGAATGTTGGAGCAAGTATTGAAGGCTCTGGCTAGTAGAGAGGTTTATTTGGCTTTTTAATGAGGCTGCTCAAACACGAACTTCTTACTCCTTCCAAATTCTAGATGCAAAAAAGTCTTAACATTTCTGTGTCATCCCATAGATTTGAACATAACCTGCCGGTATGAAGGTGTATTCCACGTGGAGAAAAACGGTCGCTACAGCATCTCGAGGACAGAGGCAGCTGACCTTTGCAAGGCCTTCGATTGCACCCTGCCCACCATGGCCCAGATGGAGGCGGCACTGAAAGTCGGGTTTGAGACCTGCAGGTAAGAGACTAGCCCCTGCCCGCTGCAGAAAGCTCCTTGCCCGCAGCTGATTGGATGCTTGCCTGTCAGCCCCACCTGTTCATTTGGCCAAGTCAGTCGGGAATCTGCAAGCCTACTGCAATGTAAAGCATCTCGAGAGGACTGTGCATCCTAGCGGGGTTGCCCAGAGGAGGCCATTCGGGGTCAGCCGCTGGAATCCCGCTGCCTGAAGCCCTTCCACAAGACGCTTCTCCTGGCTTTGAAGAAGCGTGCAGTGTTATTGTCGGAACCACAAGAAAACGTGAACCAAATAACAGTGTTTAAAATAAGTATGTGCCTGGTAAAGTCTAGGCCCTGCAGACTTGGCTTAAAGCAGATTTTTTAAACAACTCACTTTCTCTCTCAGTTTGTTTTTTTTTTTAAATCCTCACCTGAGGACATTTTTCTATTTATATTCAGATAGAGTGGGAGAGGGGGAGAGAGAGAGAGAGACAGAGAGAGAGGAGAAATATCAGTGTGTCTCGATTGGTTGCCTCCTGCACAACCCCGACTAGGGCTGGGACCAAACCACAACCGAGGTCCATGCCCTAGACCGGAATCGAACCCAAGACTCTTTGGGCCAAGGGCCAATGCTCTAACCTCTGAGCAGACCGGGGCCAGGGTTCTCTCTGTTCTTGTTATTCTACTCTATGTTGCTGTGGTTTGAGAGGGTTAAAAAGGGTGGGGGGCATGAAAATTATTGAGACAAATTACTAGTGACCGGTAAACAACGCGAAGGGCTCAGAAAGGCCTCCTGGGAGGATTCTGTGGAGATCACGAGCTCCTGGAGCTTCCCTCAGACCCTCCTGCTGGAGGACAATCCCAGCAGGCAGTGGACTTTCTTTCCTTCCCTGAGTTTCCGATGGCCCTGTGGCGAGTGGTGCACTTTAAGAGGAACAGTGGTAACGACCACAGTGAAGTGTATGTTTTTGTTGGTTTTCACTAGAAGCACTCTGAGTCATCTGATGAACTGCTGTTTCCATCCCAGCCTGTTGCAAAGTAATGTCATTAGAAACATTCAATACACCAGTCCCCCATCCTTGGTTAGAGAGATAGGCACCTACTTTAAGAGCGGCAGTGGAGGCTCTTGCTGAAAAGGAAAAGGTAAAGGAAAATCGTTACGTCTACGATAGTAGTAGCCACGTGTGGCGATCTGCACTTAATTAAAATTAAATGAAATTAAAACCTTGATTCTTCAGTGGCACAGTGGCTACATTTCAATTGCTCAACTAGCCACAAATGGCTAGTGGCTACTGTATAGGACAACATCGATTATAGACTGTGTCCCTGATCATGGAAAGTTCTGTTGTGTCGCATTGCTCTGAAGCGAAGACCAGCTGTATGAGGCATCCATATGCATTCAGAGCCGTGTCTGGGAGAACATAAGAAAAGCGGAGAAAGGGAGATAGCTCTGTCTGGTAGCTGCTCACCCCGAGCTGTAGTCTACAATGAAGAAAGGCCAATTAGCAGATCCATTGATTCTGTTCCCAAGGCTAATTGTTTAAAGATGGCCCCAGACTAGTTCAGTAAGAGAAATTCACTAAGAAAGTGGACTTAGTAAGCTGAATTTTGATTGTGAAATGCAGACAAAGCATACTTACAAAATACAGAAATGTTCTCATATGCCAAAAAAGAGGGAAGTTCTTACTATTTCCAACGGCCAATCAGCACTTGCCCACAACTCTTCACTAAACTCTCAAAGCGCACCAGGGTTGATTACATCACCCCACTTACCGATTAAGCAACTGAAGTTTAGGGAAGTTCCTCAGCTCGCCCTGGGCCATATCACTGGCCTGGGGAGGAGTCCAGATTCGGGTCCTGCTTCATCTGAGCCCAGGGCAAGGTTTTAATGACCACAGCCCCACGGAAGGACTGAGGGCAAAAGGGAGATGCAAGGATGATGCATCAATTTGCTGAGCATTTCTTTTCTCCCCGTGAACAGCAACCTACTCATGCAGTATACACACATGTAACTTTTAATATCTCCAACTCAGGTACAGTGCGACACACAAAACTGGCCATTGACATGACATGGCCAAAAAAAAAAAATCAGGAATAATTTACAAGGGGAATGTCGATTCTAGATTGTCAGGGTTATTCAGACTTGGATGCAAGGCTGGGATGGGGTAGGTTCACCAACAGGTATTATCATTAAGAAAAAAAGAAAAAAAAACCCAAAACGATGCCAAAGAAATCTATCGTTCCACCTAGAGCTGGAATTAAGCGTTGCAAAACTCATTTCCATAATTTCACTCAGGTAGCTATGAATCAGCCATGAGCCATAGCACAGATGGCAGAGTCTCAGGCTATGATAAAACCTTAGCAGTTACATTCTCCCATCTGCCCCACCCTGATTAGTAGCAATTCTCGGATATATGGAAACTTACTAACATTTCATTGCGACCCCTCCCCCCACAAAGCTAAAGAGACTTTGGAGAAACCAGTCTGTTTAGATGAGGAATTAGTCATGCAAGCTGCAGTTGCAACATAGACATAACTATTCTAGGTGCTTCGAAATTTCAAACGCACAGCCCTTTCCACAGGTCCTGCAGGGCAATGCACTCTTGTTGCCACTGGCAGGAAAGATGAAAAGGATCTAGGCTGTGCCTTTCAGCCAGTTTTGCAATTTCTAAACCCTGCTGGATTCAGCTTCTTCTCTGCCCTTCCCCTGCCACCATCCCATCCCTTACACGTGGTATTCTCTCAGCTCACGTCTCAGGTTTTTGAGGCATCTGTAGTCTAGAGAAATTGTGCAATGAGTATCTAGCCACCGTGATGCTGACAGAAGAGGCTGGGTGTTATATGTTGTATCTGAACAGCCTCCAGCTCCAACCTCCATCTCCAACATACTCCCAGAAGCACCTCCGTGGGGCGGTTTAAGTGCTTCTGTGGCCACTCTGCTGCGGGAACATTCCTGAGCCAAAGGAGGCATTGCTATCTCCTTAATCGCTGTTACTCCTGTTTTAATGATGGTCAATTTACTTCCACTGGCAGTGAAGTTATGCCTGGGATGCTCAGCAGGCAAAACGCTCTGGTACCTGGCAGACGAACAAGGCTTCGTGTTTAGAGTAACGGAGTCTGGAAGGAGAGAATCTCGGGAAGAGGCGAGGCGGGGAGACGGGTCAGGGATGGGACGTCGGGCAGGTTTGACATTTGTGGACTGAAACGAAGGGCCACCCAATTCTATCTTATGGGCGCCGGTCATTTTATGCATTTTCTGAAAAATACATGGGCAGCAGAGAGCCACAGTGAATCTCACATAAAGGGGTCATTCTTTTCTTTTCTGTGACTGGGGCTTCCTTCTGCTTGTTCAAGCTGACTTGACCACCACTTTTATTTGAAACACATTTTGTTTTTCTTTTATGAACCTCTTTATTTACAAAGCTCTCATAGAGCCCTCAGTGAAATTGCTTTGTTTCTATCAGCCTTGTTGATCCCTTTCACTCTGCCTCTGCTGTTATTTTTGTATTTCACATAAGTCAGTGGTTGAAACCTCCAATGGCCCTCGGGGTGAGTTGAATGAAGCATTGCCCACATGACATGTCACTTGATGGGCTATGATGAAATAAATACCCGTCAAGCTTTGCAGGTGGATAACCGCTGCTGTTTCTTTGCAGGTACGGGTTCATAGAAGGGCACGTGGTGATCCCCCGGATCCACCCCAACTCCATCTGTGCTGCAAACAACACAGGAGTGTACATCCTCACCTCCAACACCTCCCAGTACGACACGTACTGCTTCAATGCTTCAGGTTGGTTCCCAGTGGATTGTCCTTGTGTTTGGGGTTGCTTTTGGCAGGCAAGCCCGTGGCCATGTGGCCAAGAGCTGTTCGATGTCGGCTTAAGTGGGGATTCGCGGAGCTTCCAGACGTTCAGCGAATGTCTACAGCAGAGACAAGATTCCTGTCTCCAGGGTGCTTACCTGCTAAGCTGGGGAGGCCAGCAGTAAACAAATAAATATTAAATACCTTATATGAAGTCAGAGACAAACAAGAGCTATAAAAAAAGAAAGCAGAGCAGGAAGCTTCAGAGTGCTAGGGTGGTTGTTTTTCTGAGAAGGTGGTCAGGAAAGAGCCTCTGAGGAGGCAAGTCTAGGGGAGCCTTGAGCAAAATGTAGGGGAAGCCATGAGCGGGGGGCGCAGCCAGCGCAAAGCCAGGCGTGGGGGAGCGTCTGGCCTGGCCCGGGAACAGCAGGGAGGTCAGGGTGAATAAAGCCCAGTGATCAGAGGAGAGAATGCCAGGTAATGAAGTCAGAGAGGTAAGCAGGTGCCAGCTCACATACGGCCTTGTGGGCTGTAGTTGAGAGTTTGGGTTTTACTCTCAGCATGATGGGAAGTCATTGCAGGGTTTTGGATAGGGGAGTGACATGAATTAATGATAGCATTGGGGTATAGGCCAAATGGCTTAGCTTAGAGGTATTTATTCTATGTTGGGGCTGGAGAGAAGATTGGGAGGATATACGGTAGGCCTTTGACCTTGTTGAGTGTCCCTACCCAACAATCGAGAGCCCAACAACTGGAGAATAAAGAAGCCAAGGTAAGATTTGCATGCTGGGCTGCTGGCCAGATCTCTTCCCTGTGTAAGGCACTGGCTTCCTACAACTGGCCTAGAAACACACGCTTCCAAGTCTAATTTAGGCCCCAGCAAAACTGAAGGATTCTGGGTATCATGAATCTTCAGGGTCGTTTGAGAAGGGTCAGACTCATACATGTCAATTTTTTGTATGTCAACAATCAAATGTCTTAATTCTCAAACTGAGCCTTCTGTCCCCCTAAAGGTTTGAGATTGTGTGAAGGGGAAGATAAAGCCACCAGGTAAACTTGACACTTCTACCTGGCAAGCCAGTTTTCGTGACAGACAGGAAGGGCATCCGTTCTGCCCGTAAACTAGCTGGAAAGTGACATCAGGCATTTTCTGGATGAGACAAACACAGGTGTTGTTATATGATGATGTAAGGCATTATTTTTATGAGACAAACAGGTTTTATATATGGTAGCAGAATAGAAAATCTGCATGGATTTTTAAGCTATAGTAGGAACATCAAAGAAATTGTGAGATCAGATCAGTAGCTTTAGGCTACGCCACCCATCTGTGGCTTAAGCAGCAGGGATCAGAGGGAGAATTCACAGGGGAAAACTAGAGTTTAGAAGAAAGAATTGATCAGAGCTGTTTGGAATGACCAAAAAGATATACAGGTCACTAGACCTATGGAGGGACACTCAAAATAAGGAGAAAACTGGAGTATTTACTCCTCCCTGTCATATGAACAAAGAACACAAATGGAGTTTGACCAAAAGGAGGAGAGTCCAGCTGAGGCTGCACGGTACATGGCCCATACCCAGGTCCCATACCCAGAATGTCCTTTCTAATGACATGATGATGAGAAAAACCCTATGCAGATAAATAGGAAATAGACACAGAGCCACATGTGGTCTGGCCAGCTTATCTTGGTGCCAGAGCTCACGGAAGAGTTGGGAAGACTGTGCTGTAGATGAAGGGGGTGGTTATATGGAAAAGAGCTAACACCAGACTGCACCCCCTTGAGTGTCTCTGGGTACTGCCAGCTGCCTCTCCTACCGAGTTGGGTCCAGTGAATGTATGCAATAAATGACGTTGTTGCATATCCACATTGCCTCGCCCGATTTACACATTGCTGTTACTTGCTGAAAAGAACCTTAATCCAAAAAGGTAGAAGCTTACCTTGTTTTATTGCCTAGAAGTGTAACCATCTAGGCAAGTTACCACTGAGACTTTTCTACCTGTCCTTATTTTTGCCCATGAGGTGGGCCTGTCTTCAGAGAAGGGAGAGAACAGTACTGTTCACTTTCCTCCTTTGGCGGTTGGGGGTGCTTTAGTGAAGTCCTGGGGGTGCATTGCATACCAACGTGGCTGTATTAAAGTAGGGAAGTTCCAAGTGCCATTTTTTTCTTTTCCAAATTTACTTAATATGGGTAGGCTGCTTTAGTAAGTTTTTCTTTTTTTTTTATTAAAAAAAATTTTTTTTAAATTTTTTGGTACATGCCCCTAGCGGAAACCGAACCCAGGACTCTCTGGTCCGCAGGCCGATGCTCTAACTGCTAAGCCATACACCGGCCAGGGCTTTTCTTTAAGTTTTAAAAAGGGTGTGGATTGATCAGCCATGGGCGCTCAGTACTGTGCTGGACAGAGTGGAATGAAAAAGAACTGGGGGCCACATTTCTTATCTTGGGAGTTCATCTTGTTGAAGCAATAAGACAAAAAGTGAAGATGCTTGAGAAGAACGTTTATCTAAGGATACATTCCTCTCATTAAACTGTCCTGGCGTGGAGTCAGATGATGGAAGTGTGAAGTAAGCGACTGATCTTGATAACCTGCTGCTCCATGCGAAGGTTCTCATTGGAATGATCCCCGCATCCAACTCAGCCTGAGAACAACCCGCAGATCCCAGTAGTGTGACTCCCCCCAGAAACTGGTTACAGGGACCAGAGCCAGCCCAATCTTAGCAGATAGCTTCTGTATGCTTACAATTTCAGCAATGTTTTTATAAAACACAGCTTGTGGTTTACAAATGAAAATAAGGCAGACCCTGAAAAGACTTGGTGATTTTTATTGCCTCATCTGTCAGCGATAAGGCCCAGCATGAGCCTGGTGACTTCTGTGTGAACGACACAGAGAACTAACTTAAATTTGTCTATTTTTTTAAGTTGGCTTTGAATAAAATGCCTCAATCTCTTTTGAAGGAGGAATTGAAGGAAGATTGCATTTTTATTTGTTTATTCATTCACTCTTTTATGGAACAAATACTTATTGGATGCCTAGAACGTATCAGACATTGAGGAAGGTATTTTTCACCGAGTGATGGGCGAGACTGAACAGTGAACATTCCCCTTGGCTTTTAGGTGCAGTGAGGCAAGGTTTTGAGACGTAGCCCACCAGGAAGCTCACCTTAGACTCTTTCTAAAACATCTTTAGGTTCAGAAAAACTGCACGGGCCTCCTTCTCCCAGCAACGCAGTGCTCATTAATCAGGATGCAAGGCTGTCTAATGAGGCCCTGCTATCTGACATGGGAGCGTGAATGTGTTAATTGCACATTTGGGTCACCGTCCAGCTCGGTATGCTTGCCAGATTCGATGTTCTTTACAAAAGTTCAGGTGAACTGGAGCATGAAGGGGGTCCATTTGAACAAATGCCCCAATTCGCTCAGTGTTTCTGACATCATCCCCCTATTACAGCTGAACTCCTGGACATTCCCAGTGCGCTCTACTGTCAGCTGCAGTTATGTTTGAATTGGGGGGGGGGGGGCTGTTCTTCCATTCCTGCCACTAAGAAGTCATAATCCAAGGCCTGTGTCTAGGTCTGTGCAATGTAACAATGTGACATGACAAGAAGCATGTCACAGGTCAGGCCAGTGTTTGGTGGTGTCCCCAAGGCAGACTGGGTGGATACTCTTCACAACCGCCCAGATTGGCTATTTGCCCTGATCTTTTTTTGGATTTTTTTTTCTTTATTGATTTTAGAGAGAGAGGAAGGGAGAGAGAGAGAGAGAGATGGGAACATTGATGAGAGAGAACATTGATTGGCCGCCTCCTGCAAGCCCCCCAGTGGAGATTTGACCCACAACCCAGGCATGTGCCCTGACCAGGAATCAAACTGGTGACCTCTTGATGCATGGGTCGATGCTCAACCACTGAGCCACACCAGCCGGGCTCACCCTGGTTTTTAAATGAAAGATTTACTAGGGAAATATTTTGAAAACTGTAAGTCTATAAGAAAGAAAGATCTCCTATCCTTTGAGATAGCATGGAAGGACCTGGAGAATATTATGCCAAGTGAAACAAGCCAAGCAGAGAAAGACAAATATCACGTGATCTCACTTATTTGTGGAATATAATGAACTAAACAAACTGCTGAACAAAATTAACCCAGAGACAAAGAGGTGGGGTACAGACTGACAAGCCTCAGAGGTGGGAGGATGGGGCGGGGGCAAGATAAACCACAGAACTTACATGCATGTATGCATGACCAATGGACATAGACAACAAAGCTGGGGATGGAGCAGGGGGGAAGGGGAGGAGGGTGTCAATGGGGAAAAATGAGAAACATCTGTAACAAAAACAAATAAATAAATAAATAAAAAACTGTAAAAATCTAAAGAAATATTAATTATAATTTGCCTCCATGACCTTGTGAATTCCTCAAAAGCAGGGACAAGAACATGTTTATTTATTTACTTATTTGCTTCTTTTCTATTATGTGATATCATATGTGTTGAGTAAATGCTTAAAACAGATACATGAACTGATATATCTGGAAGTTCCTTTAATTATTTCTTATGACATTGCTGTTCAGGGTTTATCTAAATGTTTTTTGACCTGTTTATATTTACAGTCAATTTTGGGAGTTAACATCTTAGATGTGTTTACTAGAATGGGCTTTTTTCCCTTTTTCATTCATTAAACAAACATTTATCTAGTACCTCTCTGTCCCCATCACATATAAATGTCCTGGCCAAAACAGATAAGGTTCCAACTCATCTTGTAAAGCTTAAACATTTCTGTGGAGGTGGGTGTGTAGCAGGCGGTAAGGGTTAGGAGATGTGCCATGAACAGCCATCAAGTAAAATGAACAAGATAATTTTAGATAGTGATAAGCCTGAGGAAGAAATGAGAGCAGATGATGGATGATGGTGATGGGTATGGGAGAGTCGTGAGGGGCTAGCTTACACTAAATGGTGGGGAATGGCCTTCCAAGGAGGCAGCTTTCTCTTGGAAGAGTCTCTTCTGAGAAACATTTTAATCAGCCTTTGCAAGAATGGTTTTTTCCTAAAACCTGCTTTTCTCTAGTTGAATGTATAAAGTTGCTATTTAGTTTCTCTCTGAGGCCAAAGCAATAGGCTTTATCTATGGGAAAAGATGGTACTAGGAACTGGGAAGCAGCCAAACCCTGTTTTGTTCAACTTGTGTTTTTGTCCAGTATTATGAGTATCCAGTAGTTTATGGCAGGAAACTTAAAATACTTGTGATAATAGTCTTCTTTGTGATAGCAATCTGCCTGCCTGCCTTCATCCATCCTTCTGTCTGTCCGTCCGTCCATCCATCCATCCATCCATCCATCCCTTTCTTCCAAGCAACTCTAACATGTGCTTCATGAGAGAAGGACCATGTCTATCTTTGTAATTGCTGTATCCCCAGTCTTCCACAATGCCTGATAAAGAACATATATATTTGTTAACTAATGAATTTTGGGGGGTTGGAAGAAGAACAAGTGAGCTTCCAAAAAAAAAAAAATGTATGAAGCTAAATAAAAATGGAAAATGTATCACAAAAGCCAGAAAAGATCTCAGGAGACTTAACAAAGTTTCAGAAAAAGAAAATTATTTGGGATAAGTTATAATAAAACTCTGTCCTAATTAAGTAATAGAAATGGTAATCGACTTTGCTCATATTTTGTAGAGTTCTCATGCCTTTTTTCTTTCCTACCTCATAGCACCACCTGGAGAAGATTGTACATCGGTCACAGACCTGCCTAACTCCTTTGATGGACCAATTTCCATAAGTATGTATCTCTTCTAACCTTGATTCAGTTTCTCTGTTCTTGGGAAAGGGATCAGGGGCATTTTCAATGTTTTATATTTGACTAGTCATTTCCCTAAGGCTAGGCACATAGGCTATAGTTCAATGGTCCTTCCTCTTTTTCTGCGATGGCTTCAAACTGTTATCTGGTTTCCCCAATGCACTGTTCCTCAAACTTCAGTCATTGGAAAACCACTCTCACTTTTTTTGGCACTTCTACGTACAGAGCACTATTATTGATATTTTTCATTTAATCTGCCCGTTCTTTTCTACTTGGAATACATTTTTTTAAAAACTGCAAATGAAAAGCCAATATCCCTGGTCATAATTAGAAGGTAACCTTAAAAGTAAATTTAAGCCCTGGCCGGTTTGGCTCAGCGTTTGGAGCGTCGGCCTGCGGTACAGAGAGACCTGGGTTCGGTTCCCGCTAAGGGCACGTACCTCGGTTGCAGTTTGTCCCCGGCCCTTGGTTGGTCGTGCGGGTGGCAGCCACTCGATGTGTCCCTTCACATTGATGTTTCTCTCTCTCTCTCTTCCTCTCTCTCCCTCCTGCTCTATCTGCACAAAAAATGGAAAAATGTCCTCGGGTGAGGATAAAAAAAAAAAAAAAGAAAGTAAATTTAAATGTGGGGAAGATTAAATAACGTTCTTAAATTCTAGCTGCTGAAGGCTCTGAGCTGTGTTCTCTCTCATAGAGGGGGATTATTAAGTGGTAGGGGAGGCATTCTGGCCCCCAAGATTTTGTGTTTGATTTAACTGGAGTACTGAAAGATAATTATAGAAGGTATAAACCTCTTGATACGTTATTCAACATTATTTACACCATGGCCACCTAAAATGATCCCCTGAAGTAGGCATCTGGCATCCCCGACACCAGAATATCTCAACCAAAACTTGCAAATAGGTCTACTTTTTAACTCTGATCTTATTGCCTCTGAACCTCATTTCTTCCCGAAGTATCAGTGTTGAGGAGGCCTGATGTCTGCCTGCAAAGAGCCAGCCCCCTCAGTGCGCACAGGCAGAGTCGTGACGATGGCAGGGGGACGAGCATCTTCCTGGACCATACAAACCCCTCACTGTCATGTAGGGAATTGTCCCGGGCCTGAGCCTTGTGAAAGGAGGCAGAGGCCTACAGTGTGAGACGTGATGTCTCAGGCATGCTGTGAAATCCTCGTTCCTCACTACCTGGATGAACTTAGAGGAACAACTTCCTCTTTCTGAGCCTCCGTTTTCTCATCTGGGTAATGGAACAACATATGAGATGAGAATTAAGAAAGATAGTATGTCTACTGCATGCCTGGCCCATAGTAGATGCTCAATAAATGTACCACTTCCTTGGTCCCCACAGATGTTCTTAGAAGTCCAGACCTGTACGACTTTAGTCGTATTTTTCTTATCCGATCCTCATCTACAGAGATTATCAGGGTGATTGAAACTTTAGAATGTTTTGTTGTTGTTTTTTTAATCCTCACCCAAGGATATTTTTCCATTGACTTTTAGACAGAGTGGAAGGGAGGGAGGGGGAGAGCAAGACAGAGAGAGAAACATTGATATGAGAGAGACATATCAACTGATTGCTTCCCACACAACCCTGACCAGGGTGGGGAATCGAACCTGCAACCCAGGTGCTTGTTCTTGACCAGGAATTGGACCTGTGACTGTTCTGGTCCACAGGCAGATGCTCCTACTGCTAAGCCAAACTGGCCCGGGCAGAAACTTTAGAATGTTTTAAAATTTATATTTTATGAATAGTTCCACTTGGGCAAGCTAGAGAGGTAGACAAAAGAAATCTTTAATCCTACCAATGCAATACAGCAGAAAATAATTTCAGATAAATGTACATTTGGGCAGTGAGTGACCCAGACTTAAAGGTGGCAACCTTCAAGGGAGAAACAATGAATGAATTCATCCCCGCTTTTTCTCCTCTTGTCCATTATAGTCATTTTCTTGTTTACACCAAAGATTTTGATCTTAATATACATCCGTGCTTCTTAATTTCAAGGCTGAATTTCACAGAGATGGCAAAGGCTTTGTCAAAATTCAGGCATGCTAATTTCTTAGCCAGGAGTAGGGGTTCACTCAAACTGACAAAATCTGGCCCTCAGAAAGAAAATCTAATTCTTCGTGGGTTTGCAAGTATATATTCCTTGCTGACGAAAACAGCCTCTCTGTCTCCTGCTTCATATCCTCTCTGGAAATAGGTGGAATGAACAGTACAAAGTTTACATATTCCTGAGAAGGGAAAGAAGGGACCGGGTGGGAGATTTATTGTTTATTGAGCACCAACTATACTTTGAATACTGTGCTAAGCACTTTATATACAATATCACATGGTGCTCATAAAGGAAGGTAGTATTATCTCTATTTTGCAAATGACAAAGCAGAAGCTCAGAGAGTTTCCTACCTTGTCTGGAGCCACACAACTGGAATTCAAAGACAGGGACTCCCAAACATGCCCTCTTCCCCACTTCCTGTTTCCAAGGTGCATGTGTGGGCAGGGGAGGGTACACTCCTAGTGCTTTAGCCTCGTATCCCCCCACCGGATAGGTCGTGAGGTGTTGCTTTCCTTAATAAAAGAGAAAAGTAGCTTTACAGTCACCATCTTGTATGACCGTTCACAGTCTTCTCTACACTCAGAAAGTATCAGCTGTCAGGTCTGAAAGCGCCTTCTCTCTCTCCCAGCCATTGTGAACCGTGATGGGACCCGCTACACCAAGCAAGGCGAATACAGAACTAACCCTGACGACATCAACGCCAGCAACACCACCGATGAAGATGTCAGCAGTGGATTTTCCAGCGAAAGAAGCACTTCAGGAAGTTACAGCATCTTCCCCTCTCACCTTCCAACTATGCACCCGACCCTAAACCAAGACAGTTCGCGCGTGTCCTACCACCCGGAGCACCCTGCCACCAGTAAGGAGAATGAATCACTGTGCTTTCCAATAGCGATTCATTTGCAAAAACATCTCTATCCTTCCTGAGTGATACGCACTCATATGTAGCTCGTTTCCTGTCTCTAGCAGTGGGTGACGTCATTTGGGGAGGTGGGCTGTGGTGGTTGTCAGTGCCCTGTATGCACTGACTGTACTGCCAACGTTTTTTGTTCATTCATTTGTTTTTTACCTGCAACTCTGTTTTTCTTACCTTGGGGTAAGAAGTACCATATCGAAACTTTTTTAGAACTTCCCTTATTCTCTTGTCCCAGGGATATGGTGCCATTTCAAGCCCAATTTAGAGGCTGTTCTCATTTTTGCAGGTTTCCTTCTGGTTCTTATCTCCTTCTGGATAAAACTGTTTTCTTAAGTTGGGATCCCAGCAGATGTATACCAGTTCATCGGCTCCTTTATGTTTCACTTAACTTTGTAATTTTCCATTTCAGCCTGATTTATACTCTTGTTATTGATTGTATAATATTCAGTCATATTCATCAGCCATGATTTCTGAACAATTCCTTTGTTTTTGGTCTAGGGAAACATAGTTGAAGGAGTTATCTGTTCAAATGAAATCTTGAAGAGTTGTATTCCAGCCTGGAGCGGAAGGCTGCTGGCACTTGCTGGGGTTGTGTGGGTCATTCATCACCTTGGGCCTGCGAGGGCGGAAACACGTAGACGATGCCTTTGAGTTCCCTGGGTTTGGGCTCCTGGTGCTTTGCTTGCACTGGGAGGTGTTTACATTTCTCTCTCGTCTCCTCCTTTGCTTCCCTCTTTGCTTTTCCCCATGGTTTGTTTAAAAACATGTTTCCAGGCTGGCTGTGTTCCTTCTGCAGAGGATTATTCAAACTCAAATAGGGTATCTGCCTCCTGAGCCACTTTCCTAGGTTGGATTTGCTCTTTCCCTGGCTCCGGCTCTTAGGGTGGAACTCTGGTCTCCAGAGTGCGGCAGAGACTCACTGGTTTGTGACTGCTCAAGACGGGGACCTTTCTACCCCTCGTCACCTCGAAGCCAGGAAAACGCCAGAGCGCGATGGTTTCACGCAAGGTTGCTTGCTCAGCCGTGCTTTACTTTTCTGTCAGCAGCTTGCTGAGTGAGTGGTACACAGAGGTTTGGGGTTCTGGTCATCCTCTGCAAATTCTTTGAAACATTTCCAAAAGCAGGCGCTTTCAAGTTGCCCCCGTTCCTGGAGCATCGGCTTGCTGTTTGTAACCCCAGGACAGTCTTTCTTCAGAGAAGCTGCTGCAAACCAAGCTGGTGATGCCGCTGGCTACTCGTTGTGCCCTGACCTCCCTGACCTTTCAAAGTATCCGTGCTGCCCTGGCCGGTGTGGCTCAGCGGTTAGAGCGTCGGCCTGGGGACCAAAGAGTCGCGGGTTCGATTCTAGTCAAGGGCACATACCTCGGTTGCGGTTCATCTCCGGCCCTAGTCGGGTCGTGGGGGAGGCAGCCACTCGATGTGTCTCTCTCACATCATTGTTTTTCTCTCTCTCCCATCCCTCACTCCCTCCCTCCCACTCTATCTGAACATAAACGGAAAAATAGCCTCTCGTGAGGATTAAAAAATAAAAAGGAAAAATAAATAAATAAATAAAAGAAGCTGTGCTGCAGGTCCTTATCATCATGACACTATTTTGTCAGATGCTGGCAGGCAACAATGACTGGTCTCAGCCAGAGGCAGATCAGGTATGCCCTAAAATACCATTTCTCACCCAAAAAGAAAATCCGGACAAAATGTATCTTGTGGGAACTAGATGATGTTAACATTCTAGCTGCTAATAGCCTAAATAAAATAGTGGGCACAATTTATAAACATTCATAGCACATCTTTTAAGGACTATACTTTTCCTGACTATTAGTCAGCAAACAGATTTTGAAGACCTGCTATGTACCTGGCCTATTCTAATGCTTAGCATCCAGCAGTCAACACCATGAGAGCAGGTTACAGAAGAGAAGGAAGACTTAGGAAGCTAGTCATTCATTCAACCAGTATTTGAGGTCTTCTCTGTGCCAGATACTGCTCTGGTTACTGAGGACCCAGAGTTGGACCTACTTTCATGGAGCCTGTTCCGACATCAAGGAAGAAGTGTGCTTTGAGATTTCTCTGAAACCCAGTTCAGGATCTGGGTTAAGAAAAGAATGGTGCCTTCCTCTTTCCAGAGTACTTTGCTAAGGTTCTCTTAGTAGTTCAGGAAGAATGAGACTCATTTGTCCACCAGAGTGAGTCCAGGGCTAACCCCAGAGTTATGGAAGTGCTGTGGGGTCCAGTTAGGCCAATGGTGGCTCTAAATAAAGCAATGTATGCAAAGAAGAGTGTCAAAGAACACAGTCAGGTGGAAACTGGAAAGTAGCATATGGCATACTAGAAAAAGTAAGCCCTGACAAGGGCCTGAATAGACGATACTTTCTAAGCCCGGTGAGGAGATCTCAAAATCTCATGCCTGTTGGACTGAGAGCTGGAACTTAGTGCGAGGGAGTGATTTCAGATCCTCCTCGATGCGTGCAGGAGGGCAGAGGTCAAGAGGAGGGCTGGCTGAGCACCTAGAATCGCTCTTCGGCTTGGCTGGCGCGTTCCTTCCTTAAGGTTCTTGGTGGGTGGCAATAAGGAAAGCCAATAAGAACAACCATCTGGGTAGGTTTTGATTTCCAGCCGACTTTTTATTACAAGTGTTATTTTTGGAAGAGCCCTCCTGAAGGCATGTCAAAGAGAGTCCAACTTCTTTTTCATGGGTGATCTGGAATTCTTTGGAATCCAGAGACCTATACTAATTCAGGAAACAGACTCCTTCCTGAGAGCACTCTATTTCCTTGTCTTTTGGGTGTCAAAGAAATATATATATATGTAAAGTATATATATAATTTACAAATATATATGTATGTGTGTGTATATATATATATATATATATATATATATATATATTTTGGTTTGGTGTGGCTTACTTGGGTGGGGAAAATTGGAAACTCTGTTGGCTAAGGAATAGCTTTTGCTTCCCCCCACCTATCTCTTATAACTCCTTTTAGGAAGATAGAAATAATGCCAATTTCTTTATTGCTCCTGTATGTTTCCTTCCTGTTGGTCTCTTCCTGGTGCACTATAGGGTGAGGGTAGCATGAGTTATGCGTGTTTACTAAGTTCATGAGGAGACAATGGGATGTCTGTGAATTTTCCAGGGAATTCTTGGATTGATCTCGGGCTTCACTGGTGACATTGGCTCCAGTCTCTCTACTCTTTCTTCTGAGCAAGTGTGTTCTTTGTAGCATAGTCTATATTGTGCAGGTGGTTGACATTGGGTGTAGAGAGTCCAAGTTTTTAACCTGGAGTTTATGGACTTCCAGTAGGTCCAGTGGCAGGCCATAAGGTATACAAGACCACCTGAAATCATATGCAGAATTTTGAGAATGTGTACGTGTAGGATCACTTTTTTGAGGAAAAAACGTCATCACTTTTATCAGATTTTCCAGAGGGCTGTGTGACTCAAAATGGTTCTTTAAAATCACTAGTGGTTTAGATGTTTATCGTGGTGATCTCTGCCTTCTTCTTCTACAGGGAAACCTTTGGGCTCAGTCCAACCTGGGAGCCAAATGAGAAATGTCAAATTGTAACATATTACCAGTTATCCTTCCTCTAACTTGAACGAAGTCTAGAATTTCTCTGTTGAGAAGGTTTTGTTTCCTTTCTGGAAACATATTCTTGACAGAATTAAAAGTGACAGAAAGTGATGGACGGATGCTTGAGATCTGATTTCAGCACATTGAACACACAGCCTTTGCAAAGTTCCTGCTTGACCTATATAAAGTGTAAAGCTTGACTTGCGGTTAAGGAGTGTCAGTGGGGCTTTCAAATGCCAGGTGTCATCACAAGCTGCCTGGGTAAAATGATAGACCAAAAGATACAGACAAGCACCTCTGAAGACACTCCAAAAATAAATAAATAAATAAATAAATAAATAAATAAATAAATAAATAAATAAATAAAAGCAACGTGATGAAACTCTGCATTGAAGACCTTCAGTTCACGGCTGAGTCACCCAATCAAGTAAATACACAATCTCTTTCCATCATAGATTATTAAGTTGCTTCTTGATTTTGCTCTGGGCCTGTATTCGGGGCATTTGAAGAATGGGTAGCACTGAATGAACACCCATAGAGAATTTGCATTTCTAACATTATCCTAAGATTCCAGGAGACTTTGGAGAGGGGGAAGATAAAACCAGGCTTCGATCCTTCTTTTCTAATCTTCATTCTGTAGTAGATACAGACATCATGTACAGACAGACGAATAATAAGGGCTTTGTAGAAAGATCTCACTAAATGACATTTTCATAATTGATTCAGTTACTTCAACTGTGCACTCAAACAACCACGCATCAGCTCAGGAGCCCATTAACTGGATATGGTCCTGGTTTGATCATTCACAGCCTAAGACTCAGGATCGAACAACAGCAACGGCAGGTAAATTGTTATGTCTTCTGCTTATTTGTTGTCCTAAATGCCAAGTCTTAGAGTGTTGAGGAAAAGGACATCTGTTATCATTTTCTACTGATGCTCCATCACGATTGTTCACGAAGGCAGGGTCTGGCACCATCTCGTTTATCAGAGAGGCCTATGGATCTGGATACTCCGAAGGGCCCGACTTGTTTTTCTGTCGGCAACATGCCAAGTAATCAGAATTACTTTTCCTTTGGGGGCTTCCATTAGCAGACTCCTTCAGGACAAGTACTCTAGAAAACAGTCTGGTAGAAAAGGCACACTCCTACTCTGCTAATTATCACGGTCAATAATAACTGAGAGAAATATTGATTTGCAGATGGAAAGTGTAGGCCCTGGACACTTGTCTGGATATCTAAAACCTCCGCTGCAAAGAGTAGGAAGTGGCCTGTTGCTTCACATCAGAATCTAAGCCTCTGTCAAGCTCCCTGGATGGTTGACTGCAAAGTATTTTGACCTGAGAGCTTTTGTGGGAAAAGATTCAAAGTCTATTGTAATGGGAGATTAGAAGCATATCTTCATTTATTGACTTTTGTTGATGAAGGATATAGTCATATTTTTAAATAATTGGTATTTTTTCTATAGAAGGAGAGTAATAAAAATGGTCTTTTACATTTGCTTAGATTGTAAGACATTGAATAAACTATATTCTTTTTTTTTAATCCTCACCTGAGGATATTTTTCCATTTACTTTCAGATAGAATGGGAGGAAGGAAGAGAGAGTGAGAAACATTGACGTGAGCGAGACACATCAATTGAATGGACTGCAACCCAGGTACATGCCCTTGGCTGAAATTGAACCCGTGACTCTTTAGTCCACAGGCCAATGCTCTAACCACTGAGATAAACCTGCCAAAGCTAAACTATATTCTTTATATTCAATGGTTGGAGCCTCAGCTCTCACACTGAAGGGTCTCAGGTTTGATTCCTGGTCAAGAGCGTGTACCTGGGTTGTAGATTTGATCCCTGATCCTGGTCGGGCGCATGTGGGTGGCAACCAATTGATGTGTCTCTCTCACATCAATGTTTCTCTCTCTCTCTTTCTCCACCCCCATTCCTCCCTCCCTTCCACTCTCTCTAGAAATCAATGGAAAAAATATCCTCAGGTGAGGATTAATAAAACAAGAGAGAGAGAAATAAGCTGGAGGGAGGGAGGAATGAAGAGAGGGAGATAGACACCGCAGAATAAAGAATATGCTTTTTGAATGTGTTCAGTGTTTTTCTTTATAGGACAAACATTGTGAAGGAAATGGTCTTATCAATGTTTCACCTTGGATCATTTCTGGGCTTTCTTGGTAGCTGACAAAAGGAATCTGATTCACCTTACTTTTGTATTTGAGAATTTAATAATGGTTTCTCTGCTTAAACTTTTGTCAGTTTTTTATCTATTATCTAATATTCTTCTGATGCACAGCATTGTTACAGAAATGGCAGCTTTTAACAGTATTCAAATTAGGACTCTTGCTTCTGGTCTTATTAGTGAGATCATTGGGTCACTTGATCTCTGTCTTTCCTGATTGATTTTCCTCTTTTCAAAAGCTGGAACTCAAAATGTCCTGCTCTGTTTTGCAAAATATAGTGTTGATATAAAATGTAACCATGGGCAAGGTTGCTAGAGGATTTGGACTCTAAATAGAGAAAAACAGAAGGACATTTTTTCCATTTTTCACTTCATGTGTCATCCTTCTGTGTGTTTGGGATTGCTGGGATTATGTGTCTGGAATTGCTCACAGAAATATCATATCCTAAATTCTTGAAGAATGATATTGGTTGGCCAAGATAGAATGTATAGAAGATGAAGGCCTAAGACTCTGAAGAACTGGATTTTAGAATTATAGACTCTCAGATTTGGAGAAGATCTGAAATGGTCTATTTCAATCAACACGGCTAATCATTTAATTTCTTACACAACTAAGTGATCTTCCTGATGGTAGGGCATATAATACTTCATGAAGAAGCTCATTGTTGGATAGTTCAGATTATTAACTTTTTAAATTCAACAATTGGAAGAACAGAGCTTCTCACCATAGATCCCAATTTAGCCTTTTGGGAGCACAAAAATTTAATTCCTCTTTTATATGATAGCCTTTTAACATTCAAAGACAGCTGTTATGCCTCTCTTGAGACCTCTCTGTTGTTTAGTCCTCTGACTTCAGACAGGTCAAGCTCTGTGCAGCACAATTTTTTCATCTTTGGGATGAGCAGCATATAAATCAGATATTAAGGTCTGTACATCTCTGACATTTTACGAATTCCAATTTGGGCCTCTGAAAAAAATGGAACTTCTATACCTTTTCTCTTTCTTTCTTCCATCTATATCAAGTATAGATAACTCTCTTGAGTAGTAAAAGAGCAAAAGCATATACAATGTTATTTCTTAGGAACTGATAATTCACTTTTCAACAATCCATTCAATTATGGTTACAACAGCTTTGATGAGCACTAATGGGACAACTCCCAAAACCAACCAAGAGGCAAGAAGCTCAGGATTGGTTTTCATGGTTCTTTCGACCATCAGAGTCCAAGAACCAGCTCCACACAACAACAGTAATGGCTGGTAATGTGTTATTATGATCTCATTTCATATGTGTTCTTGACAGCCTTCAATAATTCTTCTTGACCTTGGGGATACTGTAAAAGTCTAAAGTCCATTCTGGTTTCACAAATGTTTTTGGTGACTTTAGAAAGATCATGAGCTCTGAGATTTATACATTTGATTTTATAGCACTATTAAAGCAGATTTCTTCTTTCTACTCTGTAGAATTAATGTAGCCCAGGAGGAGGCTAATAAGGGGACTATGAAAAGGATTGGGTCTTTCTTCATGACAGAACTAAGTTTTGACTCTGAAAGGTATTCTAAAATGACCAAGGTCATTTGAAAATTTTGACGTTTCAGGAGAAAATACTAGAGCTGCCCTGGCCGGTTTGGCTCAGTGGTTAGAGCGTCGGCCTTTGATCCTGAGAGACCCGGGTTCGGTTCCCACTAAGGGCGCATACTTCAGTTGCAGTTTGTCCCCGGCCCTGGTTGGTCGTGCGGGTGGCAGCCACTCGATGTGTCCCTTTCACATCGATGTTTCCCTCTCTCTCTCTTCCTCTCTCTCCCTCCCACTCTGTCTGTACAAAAAATGGAAAAATGTCCTCGGATGAGGATAAAAAAAAAAAAAAGAAAATACTAGAGCTAAAAAAAAAAAATACAGAAAATCTCAATCAGTGGAACTATTCTTGGGGTAGATACTAACAATACAAAAAAGATAAATGTTTGTTCCAAAAGATAGCATGAATCTGATTCAAAATGTAGGAAACCCTTTGCGGTAAAGAGATGTCTTTTGCAGTAACCATGGAGAAGAGGGGAAGGGTTTCCTTCTTTCTTGTGATCGCTTCCAAAAGGAGAAGAGTGAGGACTTCTCCAACTCTTGGCTACAGTCCACTTTAGTCAACCAGAAAGGTTGAATAATAATTGCCCGGAATGACTTGTCTGTTGGTTGACTAACATTTTTTTTTTTTCTGCATGCTGAAGTATTGTTGGGAAGTGTAGCGTAATGTTTGCATTTACAGTACAGTGATTTGATGTTAGAGAAGATCAAAACTAGCAAATTGTGAATACAACTATGGGATTGTAGAAATGAATCGCATGTGTTTAGATTTTTTTTTTTTTAAGGTAGCTTGACAAAGCAAACAGGCATGTGTGAAACCTTTCCATTCTATTCTGGATGTCCTAGTTTAAATGACATATGCTTAGTTAGTTAATATGTGTTTCTAAAAGTGCGGGGGGTGTTTATTGGTCTTTTGTTTCTTTTATATCTTTGGTTGGGTTGGGTCTATATTTATTCTGTAACTTTTTAAAGAGAATGTTCAGTTCTAAAGATTATAGCCAATTGATTTTAGATCTGTAGTTTAGCTTCAGAGACCAAGATATGAGAATTTGGGAGTATACACATCGCGTGTTTCACTTTCTTCTTATAATCTTGGTAATTCCATCATACACTCTGTACCTGATTTTCTCCCTTTGTCAAATGGGCTACTTGACACCCAGCTCAGCTACTAATACAAGTCACCACAACAGGTACGGATTCAAATATCATCTCAGCAGGCTGGGAGCCAACTGAAGAAAAAGAAGATGAAAGAGACAAACACCCCAGTCATTCTGGATCAGGCATTGATGATGAAGAAGATTTTATCTCCAGCACCAGTAAGAATAATCAATTACGGTAGAACCATTTATGCAAGGCTTATCAATTAATCCAAGTGATGCTCAATAGTATTTCTCTTGGGAAATAGTGAATATGAACAATAAACATAAGCCTATGACCACACCTTAGTTATACCTTGATGAAATTTTAAAGGAAGAAATGGGTTTGTTTTTTAATGGAAGCCAACATGTATTTGGAGAAGAAATGGGAAAAACATATTTGATAACATTCTTAATGCCTCATGTTCTTCCTATTTTTTTATGTGGTCTGCTGCTACAGAGTCTCTGAACTATTTGTCAGAAAATGGCAATGTAACATATTACAACAAATACTCACTGTGTAGTTACTGTGCTAGGTGCTGGGATCACAAAGATGAAAAAAGCCAGAGCTCTTGTCTCAAGGAACTCATGGTTTATTGAAGCAAAGGACTTGAGAATGTGATTGGGCAGATATTAATTAGAAGTTGTGGATGATCCTAAATTGAAGACTTAGATAGCCCTAGAAAGGTTTTAACAAAGGGAACCAGAACTCAAGAACTGTCTTAGTTAATCAAAACCTGGTGAAGGTCAAGGGAAAGAATTCCAGAGTTTTAACAAATAAATCGAGCACCAATCTAACAGAAAGAAAGACAAATGCCAACTGAGCTTTAACAAAACAGTGCCAATTATAAAAAACAAATAGTGAAACACTGCTTAATAGTACCCAAATTTGTGACAATTATAATACTTTTTGAGAACAAAGATGGAAATTGAACTGAAAAATATCCTTTTAAAAATGCAACGATTGGTCTAATATTCATACCTGTAATGATCCAAGATATTGCTGAACAGAGATAAGAATTCTGAACTCGATTCCATAAACTCTCTGCTTTCCCTTCTGGGGTGCTACATGAGCTCTCTTGGGTCACTGAAGTTCTGCCCATCCTAATCTGAGAGTATCATCCCCGAATGGACAGACCCAGGGAAGGAGGGATCAAAAAATAGCTTAGGCCTTGAGAGCATGTAAGTATATGGCATCGATAGAACAAAAACTTGAGATGAACTAGATGCATTATGTCCAAGCTGTTAAGTGGTATACTTAGCTTGGACACCTCTGCAGAGCTTAATCTGTGGGACAAGGACACTCTTTTTTAGTAACTTCAGAAAGAGAACCAACTAACCAAAAATACTGGAGCTTTTTTATTATACTGTCTCCTGGGTTTAGGGTGTGGCCCCATCTTCCACTCTTGGGTGGAAAGCCAAACAGAGCAACCTGAAAATAAATTGTATGCTCACACTTCAGGAGAAAACTTCTCTTGGTATTTTTCATCTTTGTGGCATATTTTCCAGTTTCAGTTCACTTTTCTGCTGGGCACTTGGGCACATAATTCAACAGGATGCCCTCTTCCTTCTGTAGGGGTATGAAAACTGCCACTTATTTTGTGCTTATTGTGAATGTGGTGAATGATTCTAAACCTGATATTTTAAATTTGTGATGTAGAGATGATAGTAGTATAGTTCTTAAAAGAGTTTTGTATTATTTGGGTATCAAGATAAAGTTTGAGAGAATTTGGATGGATTTGCAAATAACCTTTTCACAAAAGACATTGACTCTGATTTTGTCATGATGCTTGTGTCGGGTGCGTCTCCTATTCCAGCCCTAACATTCTGGGTGACGGTATCGGGTCACTGGTGGATGTATGCTTCTTCTTTCGTCTTTTTTCGAGGAGGTGCTATGATGGTGGTGGTTGGTTCCTTATGGTGTTTTTCTACTGAATGTATGCATCTTGTGTTTTTTTTCCACCGGCTATGAATGGCTTTGCTTGTAAAATCCTTTGTATTTCATGGGCATACCATAGGTGTTTGATAAATATCCAAAATTGTATAGCTAAATCATATGGTTGTTATAGGTATATATTCTTTTTAAGAATCACCTATAGGAAAGCTCTGGATGCCCAGAGTATTTCTTTCCCCACCAAAAGTACTAACAAAATAAAGTGATCATCATGGTATAATGTCCAGGTACCTACCTCCTCATCCTGAGGATCTACATGTAGTACACTTGCCAGTGATACAAATTCCTTGGGCTTTCAAGTGCAAAGGGACGTTATCAACTGCATGGATGGGCAAAGCTCCGCTATGTTTGGTTATCCTCGGTGGAGGGTTGGTGTTTTCAAAGCTGTTCTTCCTCCTGCTGCATCTTCTTTGGCTGCTTTCTCCAGAAGATCTCATGTTCTGACCCCAACATATTCAATGACAGAATGCAAAGGACACTGAGATGCTTAGCAATATGGCTGAATCAAGCTGAAGGCACTTTCTGCTTTTCTTCCATTTCCACTCAGCCATCTATACAACCTGGTATAGATGATTCACTGTGTAGGCTGAAGAAGGGGGAAAAGTGAAAAACAGGTGGTGACGGCTCAAGAAATACCATTTTCCTAATAACTTCAATCATCATTATCACAGTTTCAACCACACCGACACAGAACCGGGATTGGAACCAACGGAGCCCAGGATTTTTTAATCCAGAAGTATTGCTTCAGACAACCACAAGGATGACTGGTAATGGGATATGCATTCTCTTTTTTTAGGATTTTTATTTTTTATTTATTTATTTTTTTAGAGAGAGAGAATCATCGATGTGAGAGAGATACATCAATTGGCTGCCTCCTGCATGCCCCCTACTGGGGATCAAGCCCACAACCCGGCATGAGTCCTGACCAGGAATCAAACTGGGACCTCTCAGTCCACGGGATGATGCTCAATTCACTGAGCCACACAGGCTGAACCGAGATATGCATTCTTAATTAAAAATTTTTTTCCTCAAAGTCTATGATGCTGCAAAGGTCAATTGACAGGACACGGTGGGAAATTTAGTTAGTATCTCATCACAGACTCTTAGAGAACTTTCATGATGATATTCAGTTCAACTAAGGGGTCATTTATCAATCATACCATCTGGGCACAGATATTTTATGTTGCTCCGTTATAAAAATGAATACATTAAAATGGTTTATGGTGCCGCCCTTGAGAAAGTAGTTATAGTGGAATGACAGGTCATCATTAAGACATTCTGTGCCCATTGGTATTTTTCTTGGGAGATGTTAGTGAAGTCACTCAAAAGTATTGAGAGTAGACGCTAAGGCATTGAACTGTTACATACCAGGCACTTTAGTGGAAGAACAGAACCATCCAGGGTTGGTTTATAAAAAGTCACAGTGTATATAAACATCATCACAACAGATGTGGGCAGAAGCGACACCAGTGATTATGGCGAAAACTGGACCCAGGAACCGCAGCCTCCTGTCAGTCACCATGAGTACCACGATGAAGTGGAGACCCAGCATTCCACAAGCACAAGTAAGAAGCATGGCGGTCAGCAGTTCTGGGTTAGGTGAGCTAGTGAAGTCATTCCAAAGAATAGGGAAGACTATTTTTAGACATGGCCACATCTTCTGTTTCCAGCGTAAATTTTTTTTTTATCCCCAGAGCATGAAAAGCTTCCCAATCTACAAACGAGTTTTAGAAATTGGAAGAAAAATGCCAACTTGCCAGGTTACCCAAAAGGCCAAAATACTTAAAAAGTGAAATTTTAAAAAGATCTGAGATATGGTCTTTGTGTGAAAGATTCCTAGAGGTTCCAGTCGGGTGCCTTTTGTGTGTTTATGAAAAAGGTATAATGAAGAGTGTGTTCTGTGGGTGCTTAGTAGTGGCATCTGGGAAGAAAGCTTGAGTGATGCAGTGATCTTTGGAACCCTTATTTTCTGTGAAGATTGTTGATGAATCCAGTTTCTTTTTCACATTCTGTTCTTCACTGCCTTGTAGAAAGGCATCCCTTGTAGCCTTTGGAGGAGTCAGTAGCTCAGATGGTCTATATTTGAAACCTGTGGCTGCTCTTTGAATCCTACGGCTGTTTTTTGCTACTGTTATTTCTGCTTATGTGCAAACATCTCAGGTTCTCTAAAACACTCCCAAGTCTCACTACTAGATGATAGGGATAGGATAAAAAAAAGTAGGAAGTATATACTCTTCTTTTGTCTGTTTCTTGGAAAGATGCCTATCATGTTTGGAATTAAAGAAGCTTTAATTTAGGATAAGAGCCTGTAGCATTTTTAAAACTATGGCTCAACCACCATTCTCATAGCCTTGGGTATTCCTAAAACAAAAATGTAAGAAACATCCACTTAGAATCCAAAGGGAAAAGCCAAAGAGGCTTGGGAATCCACGGTTTCAAGGATGTCTTCAGACAAAAGAAACATTTCAGACATCAACTAAGACATAGGTTAATAAGTCCTGGATAGTGTACTGAATACATCCAACATGCCTACATATCTACTTACCCTGATAGATTCTCTACATGCATGAGAATTATGGGCTGAGTTGAGAACAGACTTTTCTGATAGAAGAAGGAAATAAGAAGCAGAAGTCTCTTCAGAATGGGATTCTGAACCAGTCCTCTTTGGGACCCAACATTATATTTTAGAAACAATTTAAGACAGTTTGTACTTAAAAAGCAGAAAGCTACTTAGGAGACTTGGGATTCATGAGCCTATTGTCAAAAGGTGGAGGTGGCGGCATCTTTACTGAAGGGTAGTTGAAAAATCAGACATAAAAGAACCTACCAGAGGGAAAGCAGCACCAGCCTCAGCAATTCTCTTATCAGCATTTGCAAAACATAAAGAGATTCTGGTTGATGACCTCTGGGCTTTATCAAAGGAATGTTACAACACAATAGACATGTCAAAGAAGTATGTTGCTGTCTCACAGGACTAAGGAAAGGCGCTGGGGAAAATTGATGAAGCCCTTGAATGTCATATAGAAATGACACTCTTTTTGATGCTAGTATAAAACTCAAAATGTCATAATGTTATTGGAAAATTATGCAAAAAATCCAAACATTTAATTTATTCTTGTTCTAAGGATTTGCACGTAGTTAAATAAATGTAAAAAAGCTTATTTAATAAGAGCTTTACACCTTCTAGAAGAGAGTCAACCTTCGTATTTTACAATGGAAATCCTACTTTGCTAACTCATGTTGAAAACAGCAGTGGCGGGGGGGGGCATTACTAAGTATTTAAAGGATCACTGTGTTTATAAAGATAATGATAGAAGAACTATAGAGTAGCGTGTGTGTGTATGCATTTTTTTTTCTTTTTAAAGAAACTTAGAATAGGCCGTTTATGTTTGCCTTAATTTTTCCTTTTTGTAATTGCACTCAGGTTTTTCTAACTTCATTACTTGTCAGGAGGCAGTGATTTAATCAGTGGGATGTAAAACAAGATTTTGAGGGTTTTTCCCTCCCATCTGATAACAAGTTAGCCACAGGAGTGTTTTGACCAATGTTAAGGTAGAATGAGTACAATAAGTTTTATTTTTTAAACGCTTTTGCTTCTATAAAATCACACATATTTTCTACAATAATAAAATCCAACCAGTTTTACAAGTTGCAAAGTATACTTTGACTGGACGAGTTTATAAGCTCTCTTTCTCTTGAGAACTAAATGTTTACTCTTTGTTGCCCTAGATGAAAATGTCACTGGCTTTCTAATTTTTCCCAGTAGAACAAAACCCTGACGCAGTTTTGTTCTATTCACATTTGCCATTTTAAAAACTGGACAGTTATAGCACTGAGTGGTTAAAATTGGAAGCCTGTCACACATTCTTATTGTTTATATAATGCCAATTGGTGAGAATAATTTTCTTTCATTTAATTCATTTTGTTAAAAAGTAAATTTGGCAATTTTAGATGCCACATAGGCATAACCTCGTAATATTCCAGCGGCGGAGCACCCCAGTCATTCCCAGCATCCTCCGTGCTAGGCACATCCGCTGCAGGTGCATTTCCAGGGTTTATGATGATGGGTCACGTCACCACCGTTTCAGAAGGCCTTCCACTGGGCTATCTTGTCATCTACTGTTATATAACACACATCTTCCCCCCAAATCACTGGAGCAAAAAGGTTAATTCTTTGAGCAATTCTCTCAGACAAGATCTATGAAGCCACAGACTGTAGTAAAAGAAGAATAACACTGGGAATTCATCGACCGTGGTGTAGTTCTGACTGTGCCACTCTGTCTATAGGACTTTGAGCAAATCAAAACTTCTCTGGGCCCTGGTTTTCCCACCTGAAAAATGAAAGGACTGGGCTAGTTGAGTTCTAATATTCCCTTCAGAAGATCCGTGGTCTTTCTCTCGCCTTGCTGCTCTCCTTTTCTACCTTCTCTCCCGTGTGTATAGGACCTTAAAATAGAAAGATAGGTGCTGGTGAGGAAATCAAACACTAATGGCTCGCGATTGAAATTCTTCTCTGGCCACCCCTAGTAGTGCAGCAGAAGAAACAGCTACCCAGAAAGAGCAGTGGTTTGCAAACCGACTGCATGGAGAGTATCTCCAAACACCCAAAGAAGACTCTTATTCAGCAGGAGGGACAGCTGGTGAAGGATGGTTTAGTGAGCAAACTTGGGTGGAAACTTCCTCTTGGGTTTTAAATGTTGAACATTGAGGACACTGAACAAACAAGATATTGAAGGAATTGTCACAAGATGTTAAGGTTCCTTAATAAATTATGGTGCGGTCAACACAGAGCTAGCCCTTAAATGCTCAGCACAAATCACCTGAACAGGAATGGGTATTTGCACATAAAGGAGACACAGACAATACGCCCTTGTGTATGTCACTGTCAGATCTAGTATGGGGCCATCCCCTGGGGAGATTGTAGCAGGGACTCTGATCTTACAAAATACTCCTTTAGTTTTATAAAGGAATCTACTCTATGATGTGGGCCCACACTTTACAGCATGGTTCTATAAAATACTGGGCTTGTTAGAAAGCATGTGGTCAGAACCCCAGTGTTTGAAGCAATGGAGCAGACATTTTGAGAAAAATACCTGTCTGATGTCATTTGGTCCTTTTGTCTGGAGATTTCTCCTTGAACATATGAGGTTCTTTTTTAGAGTTACAAAACACACCTTCTCTATTCTTGAATTGTGGGATCGGGGGAATTGGACTCAAGTCTTGTCAGCATCTCTTAGTGAGGCCAGATAATTTGACTCTGTGAGCTCCTATGCATGGTTCTGTGGTCTGTGTCACAGAAACGTTGAACATACCCTGCCTTGTAAAAGAACGTGAATTTCTTGTAAGAATAATATTCCCATTTAGTGTCAGTGAGCACCATCCCCATGTTTCCGTGGCAACTTCTGAATGCATTCCTGGCAGGACAGCGGATTCAGTGACTGGCTATGCGGTGTGGTTGGTTGTTGCTAAGGGGCTACTATCGTAATCTTTTCTACCTACACCTCTTCATTGGCACAAAATGTAGCAAAAGCATGTGCTGCATTCTTACATGTCATTTATGCCATAAATCTCATTGTTAGAAAGTAATGCTTCTAATGGATTCCATTCATGCTTTTGAGATGAATGGCATTTACTTTCATGTTTATCTCATGAGGAGCTGTTACCTGATTCCTTCTCTAAATCACTACCATCCTAATGTGCATTTCACTAGGATGTGGTTGTCTCTGAATAACGTCACGTGCTTAGACTCTTGTACTTCCTCCTTTTGGGGATGGTGGCAACATGGCATGGGTCCAGAACTACTTTTTCGTCTTCATTTGATGTCTATAACTCATCTTTTATCCACTGGAGAAGTCATTAATGCCTTTGTGGCCTCCAGTTCATATCCTGATTGCTAAGAAAACACATTCTGTGTTTATCCAACTTTCTGGCCCTTGATACCAGGAAGATGTTTTCATTGTCTTGTCCAGATACAAAAAGTATTTTAAAAAAATCAGTGTATCCCTGGCCAGATGTCAACTAACACTTTGACAATTGCTTGAACTTCATGGTCATAACAGTCTCAGCCCATGACAGCCATCCAAATCAAAGAACAACAACGCAGAGTCAAGAGGACAGTTCCTGGACTTATTTCTTGGACCCCATCTCGCATCCAATGGGACGAGGTCATCAAAGAGAAAAAATGATGGGTAATAGCCTCTGAACCTTTTTATATTATGTTTTTAAAAAGCCACCAAATGGCTATTTTCCCAGAAATAAGCCCTTGGTTTTAGACCAGTCTACTTTCCTAAGAAGGAAATTGAAGTTTCTTCAAAAATTTGTTTTCTTTGTAGAAGTGATATGCCCATTTATCTAAACTTGAAGTCCTGAGCTGAGAGTGGAGAACTTGGCAGGACAGTTAAAGAAGAATTAGTCCTAAAATTATGGGCGTGGAAGTCATTTCCTCTGTAGAAGGAGTAATCTAAAGAGTCTTTTTTCATTTACTCCTAAGTGCAGGGGTCTTAAAAGAGTGAAGAGATGAATTCGGGAATTATTTTTATTGTAGAATCAAAAATATAACTTGTCTTTGATAAAAATATCTTAGCAGTAAAAAAAACAAGGTGAGTACTCATTCTGAAAAAATACCTAAAAAGCTCAGAAAACTGTATTGTTTACTCTGGCCACATTTAGAGATAGATATAGTACTCCGTGATCTAAGATTTAGACCACTCTTGGCCCTTGATAAATGTTTGTGAATTTCATAAATGGACAACTTTTACACAGAATGCAATATATGTTTTCTTAAACACTATTCATATTTACCTATAAGTAATTCAAAATAGAATTAAACAAAAGAGAGAGTTGAAAAGTTACTAGTTCTAGTTCTGTAAGAATGGAAGATTGTAATTTTATTTGACCAGTTTTTATATTTTAAAAGAACTCTTCCTTTATCAGAACAGATGACAACTTTCCTTAGAGAATCTGCAAGAGTTGGTAGCAGATGATGCCCCTCTTGTCTCAGTCTTTATTAAGTTAAAGAATCTATGTTCCTTACTATACCTATAAATAGTTACTCAAGTTCTGTTATGTTATTTAACAAGATGTCTTGGTCACAGAAATGTAACATTCCAAAAAGGGAGATAAACAAAAGAACCAATAGGGGGATGTGAATGATTATTCATGGCTTGAATAAGCTGGATCCAAACTGTAAAGGCTAGGCATAGCACGGACAGTGAAATGCATTCTAAAAGCACATTGACCATGTTTCTTGGTAGTGAATTGAACCAAGTTATCTCCAAAATGAACGCAACTGTTTTTATGATTTCATATCTTTAGAACCCCCAATTTTGTCATTCCCAAATATGAATGATCAGATATCACCAAGATAAGAAACGACATTGATATTAAATATGTGCCCATGTGTAAGACATCACGGAGACACAACAGTGTACAATTCATGGTCCGTGCTCTTGAGGGACTTAAAATTTAACTGGGAGAAGAAAACGTTTTGCACCAAAATATATCTAACAGTACGAGAGAGCAACTAATAGATGTCAAATGACTGTTGCCAACAGTAACACCAAAGAAATTCAGAGGATCCTCCAGGGAGCATCAGAGAAAGGTGGATTGGATCTGGTTTTTGAAAAACGGGCAAACACACACACACACACACACACACACACACACACACACTAAATAGTCAGAAAAAAGAAATCAGGGAAAGTGTTTGGAGGAAGAAGATTCATGTAAGGAGAGTCATAAAGGAAGGAAAGATGAATTTTTTAGATTGAAGGGATCCATTCGCCATAAAGGAAGATGGGTTTGAATGGCTAGGCTGTGGCAGACCCACACACATGTGTATGCATGTGGCTGCTGGAGGCTCTGATGATACACTGGTGGAAAACCAAACCAGTAAAAAGACCAGAACCAGCATGAAGTCTCCATACTGATGAACAGAAAGAAATTCTATTAAATTGATGAACATGACAAGGACAATAACATTGGCTCAAGCCATAGAATGGGTGTTACCTCATGAAGGATTCTACTGATAAAAGGAACATAAACAAGAGTGTCTGGAGACCATTCACAGGCAGGACTTTTTCTGGGAAAATATCCATTTGGGGTTTTGATTTGGGTTAGCCAGCTTTTCCTCTTTTTTGAAATCAGCCATTTTTTTTCCCTCTAAAGATCTTGATTTGTCTTTTCTTCTTGTATATAAAGCCTGCAGTGTAAATGTGGTGCTCAATATTCCAATTTTCCCCTCTGGAGCCATCTGGAACTGATTAAATCTCTCTAGGGGCAGCAGTGTGGTTGGACTGAATCAGAGAGCCAACAATAGTGATGGCGTTTATAGGTTATCTGGCCTTTACTTCACTCGGGACTTGTTATTGAAACAGAACTGATTTGTGATAATTATTTTAAGAGTGTTTGTAAACATTTCAGTGAAATTTCTGTACCACTCAACATTGTACATGTTAATCTCCAAAGATACCATATATTTGTGTTGACAGGATGATTAATTCACTGACATCCACTGCTTCCTATTTCTTGCCCCTGAGTACTTCCCATGGCTGCTTAGGCAGTTTTAGGTGATGAGCTTATGTCTCATTTGCTCGTCCACTTTGTGAAGTGGAAGAGGACCAAATGTGGGAAGATGGCTGTAAAAAAAAACCTTTTTTTGCCAAGTAAGGGGCGTGTGTGTCCTTTCTCCATGTTTCGAATCCTATGTGTTTAGAACAAAGGCGGTGTGCATGGAGTGGGACATGGTTTAATATGTGTCTCTCTGAAAGGTTTGGGAGGCCTGTCATGTGCTCGTGTTGATGGCTTCCAGACTCAGCAAAAATAAGCAAAAATTGTAGCTTTCCTACAACTCAACCCTTCAATGAAAGCCAGTTACTTCACGTGATGTTCTTTGGAAGAAACCATGATCTATTCTAGTTCTGGAGACATGAATTAGTATGTGCTTTCTTTCCTTGTATCCAGGTCTGAATATAAGAGTAATTTGGCTGTAGATCGTCAACCACCCTCAGGGAGTGGGTTAGAAAATTGAACAGTAACACTGATTTAATTCCTTCAGATAAGGACTCCAGCCATAGTACAACACTTCAGCCTTCTGCAGAGCCCAACACCGGTTTGGTGGAAGACTTGGACAGGACAGGACCTCTTTCAGTGACAACCCGTAAGGATAATGACGGCCCTTTATTGGCCTGTGCTCCTGCCTCAGCTCCTGCTTGCATTGGCCCAGATTCAGAGCTTGGTGGCGGAATGGTGACCTCAGTGCTTTGTGACTAAGCTCAGCCCACGGTACAAAAGCTGTCTGCATTTCCACTTTTTCTTGGTAGAGCTCTTTAAATGTGATTTTTTTTTCTTTTCTTGGTGTTTTCCATATTCAATGAGTTTATGTTTTTTTTTTTTTTCTTTAAAAAAAAAAAAAAAGGGATGTGAAACTCCATTCCACTTGGTTTTCCTTCCCCAAGTAGTTATGGCAGAGTCACCTAAGACCATGGCTAGGACAAACCAGTTCTGCCCACCTGCTTTTGATTCCTCTTTTCTTCAATCAAGGCATAAAAAGGGGCAGGATTGTTTTAACGGCTGTGAAAAGACAATTGGGGGCAGGATAATCATAGAAAATAGGGAAATCGCGTCAGCCCATAGAACAGGGCAAGGCGTGTTGTTGACAACTGACAAAGGTGGCAGAGCCCGGGTGCAAAAGGAGATCATTTGCTAATACCTCTTCCTCTCACTAAACGGCTGGTAGAAGCAATACTGAACTTCTAGCAGCCTTAATGCTCATTCTATGTACAGGGCTCCTAGACATCAGCCTGAAGTCATTCATGATTTATTGGCAGACTATGAAAGAAATCCAGAATCAAGAGGGCCTCATTTCCCTGCTTGCTGCACATAACGGACAGAGTTCTTTCTGGGCGCCCTCGTAGGCAAAGGAAAAAATCAGCAAGTACGCGTTGATCATCAAGAATATAACGAGCACAGTGTTATGCATTAAAGGAGATGCTGATGAGCCAAAGAATGGCCCCTACCAATGGAGGATCTTCTGTTTCCACTTTGTGTCCCTGTTGACTTTTGTTCTGATGTTGGGGATTTGGTGAATGTCTCTCGGTGGTAATGTTTCCTTGGTGGAGGACATGGCTCTTGGGTGTGCTTTATGGAGTGCTTGCACCCGTAACTCAGAGGTCAGTACTTTTCTTAGAAGAACACAAAAGAAATTAACTAAAGACAAAGCAATTTCACCTACGGGCAATGGTTCAGCCTCAAATTGCATAGACTACAGTGAGGGCCCTGTGTTTGCCCAGGTAAGCGTTTCCTGGCATTGCAGTGCAGGGATGAGACTCCTCATCCACAGACGAGATAGAAAACCCAATAATAGAGCAAAGTGGTAACTTTAATTTAACGTGCTTTAGGAGGGACTAAAGTATTTCCTTTTATATATTTGATCTGAGTTACTTGAGCAAGTTACTCTAGATGAACGTCTTCCTCTTTTGTGGTTACAGGTACACTACGTGCTGTCGTGGTGTTCATTTCTCCGACAGGCACACTTTCTGACACGCCGCTAGGTGCTCTTGATTGTTCATAGGACCACTGGGATTCAAGCATTACTTTTTCTTTGCCTCTATGTTCTCTGGTTTTTCTCAGTGACTGGAAGCGATGTTACAGTTGGGTTGGGATGGTCTGGGACAGACCAAGTTTTGGCTCAGGCTTCATGCTGGCACATTATCGTTGCTGATTATACTGGTGGGGAAAGGGGTCTGAGGGGCCAACTAGGGACTAAACAGAATCCTATTGTACATTGTTATCAACCAGAGGAGAATGGCGTGTGCAAACCTTGGTATTCTTACGTTCCTACCTGACGCTATCTAGCTAGATCGTCTCTGTCAACAAGATAATAGGATTTGTTTTATGGCTCCAAATTAATGCCGAATTCATCCCTCGTTGAAACAGAACAGAGTCATACTCAGAGCTTCTCCACAGCACATGGAGGCTTGGAAGAAGATAAGGACCAACCAATGACTTCTACTCCAACATCTAGCAGTAAGGACTGTAAAGCCCAGGTGGCGTCGGCTATGGGTGCCTTTGGTGGCGGTGTATTCACTGGCTGTTGTTACGCTGTTACTTCTGATCAGAGGGTGTGCTGGTGATGGTTCTCTGATTTTTCTGCTTTGTAGACATTTTAGAAGCCATTGTACTTTAAGTGCAACTTTATTTCTTAATCTTAAAGGTCAGGTCTCTTAAATTCTTGATCTATTTTGTGTATTTATGATTTATAATTGGTATAAAGGTCTGAATTATATAACTCTGTATTTTCCTTGCATTACTAATATTATTTAGCCATTTATACTCTGGACCATAACTGTGGAGCTGGTGAGTAAAAAGCAGTGCCCTCTGGGAAAGGAGAAAATAAAGCCTCAGGTCTTGGAAACCTTGCATTGGCTGTTCCAATCACAGCACAATTTTGCCTTTGATGTGTTCAATGCAATGATGTGTTTCCTCCACTTCATCAAATTGCATCCCACTGAGTAAGAGCTCAAGATTATCTAGTACCTGAGCCTACTCCAAGGTAACAGTGGTAGTAGCATAAACCTTACTTTAATAACCCAGGCAGATGTCAGAACAAATGCCTTTTCTGGGTATTAGGATCACCAAAATCTCTTCTGCTGAGTGATGTCCAGGTGTTGTCAATTGCAAAACATAGGTGCTGTGCAATAGTGTAACAAATCACACTATCTTTTGCTCTGGTTCACAGATAATAAGTGGGAAGCTTCCGCAGTAACTGCATGTTCTAAAGACAAGCACATGATGGGTGGTGGTCTTATAAATGTGGGTTTACCATTGATTTCACCTCCACACAGATAGAAATGATGGCAGAGGTGGAAATTTTCCTGATGACTCAGCTGCTACTTCAGTGGAAGGTTATACTTCTCATTCCCCAGACACAAAGGAGTACACAACCCTTATCCCAGTGACCCTTGCTAACACTGGGTCTCCTGGAGTTACTGAAGTTACTGTTGTTGGAGATTCCAACTTTAATGTTGATCATCCCTTCTCAGGTAATTTGACCATTTGTTCTCTGATTTGCTTTCTTTATGTAGAAAAACAACACATGCTTTCATGTTACAGGGACATTTTCTGTGTAGGCTGTGATTAGACTGATCTGTAACATGGGGATGGCTTTTATTATGTCATCATTCTGGTGCAAGTAAACCTAGATTTAGTTTAGATAAAGAACACTTTCATTTGCCATTGTAATGGCTGTTTTTTGTTGTGACTTGGTTGTTAAAGGAGAATGTCTTTCTCTGCCTTGTTTCTGATCTTGTGATATATTAAGTTGATCCATATGAAATTGGTATTATTATAGGTCAAAGAAGTTAGATGTTAGCCATTTTATTTGATTCAACTAATAACAGGTTGCCTATTTAGTAAGGTCTTACCCAACATGTGAATAATTTCCATATACTAATACCTTTGCTCTGAAACTTTTATCTCATATTGGTGATGGGTTGGTGAATTTTACTTTTGGCAAAGGGCTTATGGATAAACCTCTTCTAGCTATGATGCACACTTAAACCTTTATTACGTAACCTACTATTAATGAATAGGCACTGTTTCTCTTGTAATGGCAAAAAAATGGCTGAAGATGACTTATTCAATTAAGTTCGGAGTGGATCTAGAATGAGACTTCCCCACCCCCAAATAAACAGCCATCCTTATTTCTGCTTTTTTTGTTTGTTTCTCCATTTGCATTAAGAAACCAACATTGTAGAAAAAGGAACTAGAAAATACCTACTCTGGCACAGAAAGTAAAATCAGATTCTCTGCTTCTGGTTATTCAACTACTTCTTACCACAAAGGCCTATTAAAGATTAGTGATTTTAAATATACAGTAGTCCAACCTTTATCTATGGTTTTTCTCTCCACGGTTTCAATTATCCGTGGTCAACTGTGGTCTGAAAATATCCAGGAAGGAACATTTTATAAGTTCTAAATTGCATGCTCTTCGTAGTAGTTTGATGAAATCTTTTGCTGTTCTGCTCCGTCCCCACCCTGGAGGAGAATCATCCTTTGTCCGGTGTATCCACACCATATTCGCTCCCCACCTCTTGGTCACTTAGTAGTCACCTCGGTAATCAGGTCAGCTGTCATGGTATCGCAGTGCCGTGTGCAAGGAACCCTTATTTTACTCACTACGCCACATTCATGTAACTTTTATTGCAGTACATTATTGTAACCATTCTAGTGTATTAGCTATGTTGTTAATTTCTTGCTGAGACTAATTTATAAACATGATCATAGGCTTTCCTGTATAGGGAAAAATGACATATATAGGTTCACTACTCTCCACAGTTTTCAGGCATCCTCTGGGGGTGGGGGATCTTAGAATGTATCCCCAGTGGATACGGAGGGACTACTGTATATGTTTTGTAGCACAAGTTCTTTCCCTCCCCTCCCCAAAGAGGAATAAATCTTAGGAGAACTCAATATAGAAAACAGATGACAGCTGCGATGCTCTGACTAATGTAGTGACAGAAAACCCAGAGTGTCACATGTGTGGCCTCCGTCCTTGGCTGCCCATCCCAGGGCTTCAAGGAAAACATTCTTAGAAAACACTAACCTTGGCAATATTGGCAAGATAGAGCTCCTCACACCCTTTGGTTCTTTATTCAGCATGGCTCTGCCCTCAGGTATTAAACATTCCCAGTATCATTTTCACTATTCTTAGAAGTGACTCTTAGAGTACTGCCTAATTTCCCTTGGCAAAATATGACCTTTCGTGCAGTGAATTTAGATTTTAAATGGCCATTCAAATAGTTACAGTAGCCTCGAAGGATTACATAGACTATTTGTAGGTAAGTGATTAGTAAGTAATCTGACTCTCATTTTTGGTTTTCTTTCAAAACATTCCAATAAGTGCTCATTTCTTTCCTTTTTTCTCAGTCTTCATGCTTAACCTTAAGAAGTAAAACATTTGGAATTGTGGTGGTGATGGTAATGGTGGTGGTGATGCTGATGGTGATATTAGAGGTATTGGTCTCGGCATTTTAGCAAATTCTGCTTTTTGTCATTCTAACCATCAATGAAGGAACAAAGCAATGTGTCTTACACTGTACAGTTACATGAGAGATTACAGGTTACCTACCTCTGCCTTATGGGAAATGGTGGTGATCAGACTATGGTATATTCCTTATAGGTACCTTCAAATTGGGTGACGGTAGTGCTTTTATGAAACCATTGTCTTTTTTTGTTATGTTTTAAGATTCCAGTATAGTTTTGGAAAAGGTGTGGGGAGGAGGGAGACGAGCAAGTGTTTCCATGTGCTAAATTCAAGATGGGACATCTGGATGCAGAGTTTAGCAATTCATGAACTTGTCTCTATCTAAAGCCTTTTCATGATGGATATTTGAGAAGATGGACTATACAAACTCTTGATGTTGAAATTACAGATATCATTTTTTCAAAATATTACTATTCGAAACATTCAAATAACAAGGTATACATTAATCACACCTTAGCGACCATCTCCCCATTTCTTTTTTCACTTATTTTCAGACATTTTCTTTAAATAAGCAGTTGACTTTTCTCTTTGAATCTTTATAGAATCCAACCCTCAGATCCTTTATCGCATACCAAAACCTATTCTATTTCCTGCCTCAGAGAACTCTCTTTAAATGTCCCATGCCTTAAGCCACAGAGTATACCCATTCCCAGTGATCACATTGGTCATCATTCAAAGCATAGAGTCTTATTTCAAAGACACAGTATTCAATCCCAACCTCAGACGTGTGAAGACATCATGATATTTTGGTTTGCTTCTTACGGTTACTGGGTTTCTACCAAAGCCACTTCCTGTGGTCATCCTTGATGGTCTGTGCTGAACCAGTTTTCTTAATTTTGATGAAAGCTCTAGCCCACTCTAACCCATTAGTGGATTAAGAAATAAATAGTAATTAATGTTGTGGACCCCTTCAAGGCTCCTTTGCCATCATTTCTGCTTACCTTTAAAAGACTAAGCTTTGTGATGACAGCAAAGTGCGTGCAAATGCAAACATGAGGAAAGGCAGATGGCGGTGTCATTGGAACACACCGTGTTGAACCTTCTCTGATTCTTCCTTTCAGAAGATCAAGATTCGGCTCTGCACCCCAGCGAGCGGCACCCTACTCCTCACGGATCTGGATCAATTGGTGAGTTTGAGCTGCTGTAGTCATTCACTGTCATCAGCATTGAATCTGCTGATTGTTAATGAAGTGTGAGTCAGCGTCTTTTGAAAAGTGGTTCTCAGAGTTTCTGAGCATGTGTCACAATCACAGGGAGGGCTAATTAAATCACATGGCTTGGGACCCATCTTGAAAGTTTCTGACTCTGTGTCTGGGTGAAGCCTGGGCATGTGTACTTTTAAGAAGTTCCCAGGTGACATTGATAATGCTGGAGCAGGGACTGCACTTTGAGAACTACTGCTTTGGAGAAAATTCTTCCATCTGAAAAGGTCAGGGAGAATCCAAGCTGCATCTCAGTTTAACATTGCATGGCACTAAAATGGTTAAAGACATGAGTTTTAGAATAAGAATGGCTTGGGTTTGATCCCAGCTCCCCCACGTAGAAACTGGGGATGTTGCTTAAAGGATCCGAGACTCAGTTTCCTAACCAGTAAAATGACAATAATAATTGTCACAGGGTCTTGTTTACAAGACTAAACGATAGCATACACGAAAGCACTGGGCACGAACACCCGCCCCCACCCCTGCACGTGGCACAATAGCTAGATTTAATCAGACTGCATTGTGTGCCTGTGGCATTGCTCTGAACACTGACATGTGTTAGGTGGGACCATGTCAAACTGCCATTTCTGTAGGTCAATCGTCAAATAGGAAATAAAACACATTTCATATGTCTCGTCTATTGTTAACTCATTTAATCATCCTACATGCCCTGTGACCTACGTAAGTACTCTTATTATGCCAGCATTACAGAGGACACTGAAGCTCAGAGACGCTAAGTAACAACTGAGTTGTCATGATTAGTGAGCTGAGTGGTAGAAACACATTGAAACCCAGGGGTCTCACATCGCCTCTCATAAGCACAGTCTGGAGAAAGCCGTCTGGAATGACCATAACCACTGCCAGGCGTGCATTATGAAATGGATCCCTGTTGGCTGTGGCTCAGAGCACACTCCTGGGAACATCACTCCAGGTAGCAAAAGTCTGACATGAAACAGGCTGACTGGTGACCACTAATGCTGGGGCCACTGAAAGGCTGTGCATGTGCTGTCTTACCCAGTGCCCCTGAGCATCGTCAGTACCGATGGCCCACACAAGCCAGGCCATGCTTGTGAACTGTTGTGCCCCCTTCATGCTTACCTTGGAAGGACAGTTGCTTCTAGGCTTAAACGGTCACACACTGAAAGCACAGTGAAGATGGATATTTGCATGGTGGTTTTGGTAATAACCTTTTACATCACAGGTCAGGGATGTGAGGGCTCATTATAAATGCTTCTAACATAAGGACAGAAGTCCTAGGCTCTCTGGGGCCCCGGGAGGGTGGGGCATTTAGCCTTTCCCAACCTCAATTTCCTTATAGGAAAAAAGAGATCAAAGAGTCTTAGTTACCTCCTAGAGTTCTTGTAAAGAACATGAGATATCAGGAATTTGAAAGTATTTTGGAAATGATAGGAAGTTTTTGCTGTCTAAAATCAAGAGACCCCAGTTACTCCAAGTGTGGTCCTTGGACCAGCAGCAAAGACATCACCTAGGAGCTGATCTGAAATGCAGAGTCCCCAGCCATCCTGGACCTACTGAATCAAGATCCTCCCCAATCCACTAGGTGGCCTGTGTGTATGTGTGTGTGTGTGTGTGTGTGTGTGGTAAGGCTTGAGAAGCACTATCTTAGACTATTTTCCTCACAGTTAAAGCCAGTCGAATTCTCTCTGTGCACCCATGTCCGATTGGATCTCATCTCCCAACTGCAGTATCAGGTGTTCCTCTTTCCAGAACTTGCTTTCCCCGCCAGCCCTTCCCTAGCTACATTTGCAGATGTCTAGGGTGCAAGACAAGACCTGCTGTATCTAGTCCATCTTCTTGGTTTTTGCTTCAAGTGAGAGCCAAGTGGGCAGGAACTGTCTCTTTGACTCCTGCGCAGGTGTCTATTGTTCAAACAGGAGGTGTCATCTGGCTGTGCACACACCCAGATCTTTCCTTGCTGGGAGCGCTCTTTTGGAAAATCGAAATAAAGAGATGATGATCCATTAATGGCCTCCTTTTTAAATATCAAAGGCTGCTATGAGTCAGGGAAAGACCAATGATTTTCAAGGCCAAAGATCTCCAGTTAGATGACCAGTATCCCATGATCTGTGCAGATGAAGACCTGCCAATGACCAAGGACTCTGGTAGGCAGCTAGAGAAAGTGTCTCGGACTCCTGAAGTTTGTAAAGAGAGAGGCCACTGTCAAATGGCAGGGGGTCTGTTGAAATGGCCAGACGTACGGTAAAACTTGAGTTTAACAAAAATGACAGATTGCATAAACAAGAGCCGCTCTACCCAAAATGACCACTTTAATCAAGACTTCAGTGTCTGCTGTGCAGTCTAAAGTTTAACTCTCTTAGGAGACCTTTTCCTTTAAGGCTCAGCCGTCTTCATTCATTGGTTACCCAAACAGTCTTCCCTGGCTTTTTCCTTCCCTTGCAAGCCTTCAGGATTCGGTGGTAGGATCCCATTTGGTAGGGGAAAAAGAGTTCATTTTAGTGGTGTATGTTCAGATTTTGTTTTGAAGTGGTAAAGGAAGCATGAAAAACACAAAAAATAACAGAGCTTTCATTTGAGTGACTCTTTTTACAAAATATCTTATTAGAGTTTCTTTTAAAACATGGCTCCTCCCTCATTTTGGTAAGCCTTCTGTTCCGACTGATGGATTCTTTGTCTTGGGATGCTTCCTTTCAGTCTGAGATTTTTCTGTTTCATCATCTCGTTTTGTCACAGAAGAAAATGTTTATTCTTCAAAAACAAAGCATGTTTCAATGATATATTAGCATGTTACAATAATACATTAGCCTGCATCAAACCAGGCATTTCTAGGGAGGTATCTTTCTTGTAGCGCTTTATAAAGCCTGTGGCTTGAATGTATCAACAGCTTTGCAGGGCGCAGAGGCTGCTCCTCTAGAAGCCTGGCTGTGTTCCAGACTTTGGCTGAGAGATGTTGTTTTTCCCCTTAGGACACTCAAGTGGGAGTCAAGAAGGGGAGGCCAACACGACCTCTGGTCCTAAAAGGAGACCTCAAATTCCAGGTGAGTTTCACGCTGCCGAGGGAAACGATGCACTAAACAGGTCTCTCTGAATGTCTCAGAAAGGAAGAAGCAGCCAGGGAGAACTCACATTCTCCTAAATGTCCAGCCCTGGAAACTGGCTTTTCCTCTTTGTATGCTAGAGATGAGGGAGAGCAAGGAGGGAAAAGACGGGACATTCTTTATCCCCAGGCGCCACAGATTGGCTGAGCTCCCATTTAGACTTGTTTCGGGCCTGTCCCCAAGCAGGGCCGTGTGAGTTCCTAAAGCTTCCTCCTCAAATGCGTGATCACCCAGGGGACCCCGTGTCACAGCCAGGTCCTGCCTGTCCCAGTTTCGTTTCCCCTTTATTTCTGAGGTTGAGGATGACACGTGGAACATTCTTCTCACACTGCAGACAGTGTTTTAGGTGGAGTGAGACATTCTTCTGGTCCCCAGACTGCTTTTTCTCGAGGGACGGTCTTCATGGAACCAGACAGAAGACGGTTTCGGAATGTGTCACACGTGGAGGGGACCGAGATAGCTGGCTCTCCTGTGTGTCAAGATTTAAGGCATTTCAAGCCAAGTCCTTATTTGACTTGGGCTCAAAATGGAGCATTTGTGAAGGGGGATTACAAAAAAGGATGGGTTTTCCTACAGTTGCAAAGTATCTTCTCAACTCTCCCCTCTTCAGAGGTCTCCAAACCGAGCCTCCCAGGGGAAAGGGAAGAATGTGCTGTGTGCCTGGCCCCTGCGTCAGCTTGCCTGGGCATGGCTGCAGGCAGAGCCCGTGGGGAAGGCATGGGCTGCCAGGGAGGGTGGGTGGGTGGGGTGTAATTTGCTGTAATCAGGCAGCAGGATTCTTCCCAGCCCCAGTAAGAAGGAATGTGGGGCATCTCAGGGGTAGAGACCCAGGAAAGAACAGAAATGGTTCTCACCCTTCGGCCTCCCCACCTCCTCATTCGTCCTGGCTCCCCAGACCCACCTAACCAGGTAGAGGTCCGGCAAAGGCAGTGCTGAGCAAGAAACCAGGGGAGAACCAAGACTCCCAAAGACCAATGGCCAGTGAATGACTGTCCGTCTCTCTTGTTTCCCAAGCTCATGGCACAGATACACAGCCCACCTGGCAACTAAATGTATTCAAGTTGTCAAGTCATGTGTTGATATTTTAAAGCTTGATTTAAAAACATGTATATAACATTTTAATAGTGCGTGAGTGACGCATCAATTATTGTAGACATTTTAGAAAATGCAGCTGAACCAAAGGACAAAAATATAAATCACTATTTTCTACCTCACCATCCAGAAATGGCTACCATTTCCACAGATGTCCTTCCTGTCATTTTTCAATGTAGTTTATATACCAAAAGGTAATTATACCGTGTATGCTGTTTGGTAAACGACCATTCTCATCTGGTTGGCCACAGCTCTCCAATGTCATTACTTATTCTTCCCCCACATTGTAGTACATGATCTAATGAATGCACCCTAATTTATTCAACCAATTCCTTATTGTTGAATAGTAGATTGTTTTCAACTTTGGCTATTATAAATAGCACAGTAATTAGCTCTCTTCAGAGCTAATTCTAAGGTCCTATAAACTCCTGGAGGTGTAACTGTTGGATCAAAAGCATGTGCATTTTGAAGGCTTTTGACAGGTTTTGCTGAGTGCCCCCCCCCCCCCCCGGGAACATGCACAAGTTCGCCATCCCCAGGACTGTCTTTCCCCCATTCTCTAGCATGCGGCTTCCATTTTTGTTTCTTAATAAAATGTAAGGTGGATACTCATATAGGAAAAGAATATTCCTTTCAAGGGAAGAATACAGTTTTTCAGTCTACTTAATAATTACACCAAGGGCATCCACACATTTCAACAGGTCATTCTAGTTTTTGGAAACAGGTTTCTCCTGGAGGGATTTGGAAATCTTGACCAATGGTGAAACATTAAAATAAGAGGCCAATTGGACAAACACCTATAGCAAAATCACTCTTCCAGTATTATTTACCTACTGGCTGGACCATTTGGTTGGACTCATCCGTAGTGCTAACTGTGGTTCTTGTTTGGACCAGGCCAGTTATATAAAGTGCATGTTCGTTTTCACAAAATGTATTTCCCAAGTTCATGGGTGTTTTTTTCTTCCCTTGCACCAGAATGGCTGATCATCTTGGCGTCCCTCCTGGCCCTGGTTTTGATTCTCGCAGTTTGCATTGCAGTCAACAGCAGAAGAAGGTAAGGGGGTGCTCCTCGGAGCCTTTGACTTTGGAAGGGCGTCAGCTAAGCGTTGGCTCTACCTCCTTGCTGCTTGGAGCGTAGCTGTGGAAGCAGCAGCCTCAGCACCCTGGCGGCTTGTTAGCAATGCAGAACCTCAGGCCCCACGCGGACCTCCTGGGTCAGAGTCTGTTTCGATCAGGTCTCAGAGACTCATGTGTATGGTACAGTTTAAGAAGCCCTGTTCTGGCACGTTCTTTGGAAAACGGAGACCGTAATTATCTGGACCACCGCTTTTAAACAGTGGTTGAATCTCTTGCAGAATCTTAATTATTTGGGGGTTAAACCCGATGGAGTCTCTATCTGATGGAAGTTATGAAATACCTCACCAAAAAGGTGTAAACGTGTATACTCATTCACTGGTGTATTAAACAAATATTTACTAAGTACATTCACGGTGCATACCAATACCACATCAAGATCCGGGGATTGGTCATCCACTGTCTGAGGCCCATGGAACTGTCTAGAACGCTTACAGTTTGTGTGGGTTTGTTTTTTGTTAGTTTGTTTTTGTAAGGACACTTCTATTTCCTGGAAGCAGTGGTTGAAAGGATTCAGAGTGTGGCCTGGGAGAGACCCCTAACAGTGAGGACAATGGACAGTGAAGAACTTCCCTTAGGAAAGTCTGAATAAAGAGAGACACGTCTCTAGAACTGACGTGGGGGCTGTTTTTATATCCTCAAAGGTCCCCCTCCCTCCTTACCTAAGCCAAGGCCCATTGTTTCAGACGTTATTTATTTATTTATTTATTTATTTATTTATTTTTTGGTATGTGTCCCTAGCGGGAACCGAACCCAGTACCCTCTGGTCTGCAGGCCAATGCTCCAATTGCTGAGCCAAACCAGCTCAGATGTTATTTAAACAATACTTATACCTGGTTGAGCTGTGACCAGGCTCCAGAAATAGCGTCACCTAAAGTGGAGTGAAGGAAAAGTTATTCTAGCAGATGAAACGCACTTTGACAGGGGTACCCCACAAATAGAGTCCACATTTCCTGTTTAAGACCCTTTCAAGATGAGTTTTTTCCTCCAAGTGAATGCGAAGGAACATTAAACCTTTTGTAAGTGTCTCTTGAGATTTCTTCTTATAAGGTAAAATAATCTTATTTCCCAGGGGGTCCACCTGTATTGTAGCACTGGATCATCTAACGGGTCAGAAAGTGCCCCTGGGTTTGGGAGAAGACCTGGAGAAAAATGACAGAATTGTTCTCTTTGGCATTTGGAAAACAGCTCATAACTAATTCCTGTGTGCGGCCCAGGCGGTCTCTCTACTTAGCTGAGAAATTAAATAATGCCGTCTGATGCTGGTACAAGTTCATAAAAGTGCTCTATTAAAGTTGAAGAGCTGTGTTGCTATTTGCACGTTTGAGGGCATAATAAAAAAAAAAAATTAGTCGTGGCAGCTGATTGCATAAGGAACAAAAACTAGGAGAGAAAATCTGAAAGCCCTCCTAGAATCTCCTGTGACCAAATGGAAAGAGATTTTCTTTAAGTTGAATTTAAATAATATGACTTGAGGGACCTTTCCAAAGAGTCTTTCTACTTGCCCTCGTCATCCTTGTTTTCTCTTAGGTTACCTTTGCTCGGTTAAATACGAATTACCTGCTGGAAATCAGTCCTTTGTCCCAGGCCCTAGAACGCACTGCCTCCGCTCACATAGACATGAGCTCTGCGTGTGTCGCCATAGAAACATGGTCCCTGATGCTGTTGATGTGGGGGAGACCTCAGGGAAGCAGCTCAGCTGTCCCGAGAGCAGCTGGAGTCCCTGCAGTGTGGCGGGTTGCTCCTTATCATGTCAGCAGCAGACAGGGGCCCCATGGCTGCCCTCCCCCTCTTCCCAGGACCGGCCGTCACCCTGGCAACAGGCAAACAGGGACACACGGGATCCGGCACAACGAGTATCTCAAGGGGAAAGTAGCTGCTTGGACGCCGTAAATTACCGCGTCCTGATCTGATAATAGAAAGCAGATTTGCCAGGCGGCTGCAGAGTGGTTGTGGCTCCGCAGGCCCCTGAATGCGCACTGTGTTTCTCAAGCCGCCAGCCTTTTCTAATCCTCTTAAAGGCCAGGGCCTTCCTGCTGTGGGCATTACATTCTAGAGAGACACAGAACCCTGTTTTCATCACAGAAAGTCTGGTTGGAAGTGAGGACCTCCGACAGGCATTTTATGTGTCCGCAAACGTCTTCTGATGGGCGGCTAGGACGGTCAGCGCTGGCGAGGAGAAAGAGAAGATTAAAAACCAGAAAAAGGACCACCCGTTCCCTCAAAGGATCTTGAGGTTCAGTGGCAACCTGGGCCCGTCGGGGCTGAGTCAGTTGATATTTACTGAGCACGTCCATATGATTATGGCTAAAAGAGAAAAGTGGGAAAGCATGAGTCGCGGGCGTTGACGTTCAAGAGATGACCACAGCCGATTTGGGGGTCCTGCTATATCCTTAGCTTTCCCCGCCCCGGCCGTAACCTACATCACCTTTTCCTGCTGTTCTTCATGGAACCAGCCCATGAATTGCACCTTTCCGATGAAAATTGCACTTTATCCAGTGTCCTCAAGAACAAACAGCGGCTTCGGCAGTCAGTTGGGTTAGTAGATATTCAGTGCGGCCCAGGGGAAGAAGTTGGTGCCTTTCCCTTAAAGAATGTGTCTGATTTGCATGAAGAAGAGAAAAGAAAAGGCTTCACAAAACAGGAATGACCCAAGCATGTGTCTAGGCTGATTGCAGGACAGGCCTTCGCCAGAGTTCACTCTCATGGGCTTCACCCCTCTGCTGTAGACCCAGCGGGCGGTCCCGGCCCACTGCGTGGCAGGTCCTGCCTTCTCTTGAGCTGCAGTCCAGCTCGCCCGGCCTTGCTCGGCCCTCTAGAACCCAGCTGCTCATCAGAACTTTCTGTGATGGCAGAAGGTTCCACATGGGTCCCGTGTGATACACCATCACCGAGCACTGGTGGCTGCTGCGCACTCCAAGTGTGGCTGGTCGACTTCAGTGCATTTTAAATGTTATTTCATTGTCATTCGTGTCCATTTAAATAGCCAGATGTGGCTGGTGGCAGCCCTCTGGGATGGCCCAGCTCCAACACAAAGCAAAATAGATCTCTAGGTATCTTTAAGGATTTTCAGGTAGAAGAGACCTCAGCTCAGTTGTTAAGTTGCCCCCGTAAGTCTTTCAAGAGAACTTCCTTCTTGCCCTAAAGGTATGTGACCTGGTTTCTAAACTCTGGACCTGCCCACCCTCTCCTGGCCAGGCTCCAGCCTGGTCCTGCCACATGGCGTGGCCGCTGTGTCTTTACGAGCTGGACTCAGCTCCCCTCCCCTGCTGTACCCCGTGCTTCAGACATACCAAGATATTTGCACTTTTCCAAACAGACATTATTTCCTTTTGCTTCCATGCCTTTGCCCTTGACTTTGCTCTGACTGGGATGTGCCTTTTCTACCTGCTCCCTTTTCCTGAGCTGGGTCCTGTTGCTTTTTTAAATCCTCACCAGAGGATATTTACAAAGGATGAAAGGGGGATCCTTTATGAAGGATGTAAAGGCAAGGGGGGTGCAGTGCAGACCTCTGACTTTTGGGCTCAGAAAATCTGAGGGGTGGACTCCATCAGCCCTCTGTAGCAGTCTTGGGTGGTAACCTTGACTTCTCGGGCTCAGCCTCCAGTTCACACAATGAAAAGTTGGGGCTGAATGACCCCCCCACCCAAGTCCCTTCAGTGCTGACATTCCTTTTAAATTTTCTCTAACTAAGAAGAATATAAAAATGAGGACTTGAATTTTAAAAGTACTTATTTAAATGCCTGGAGCACTGTCTATTGGACTGAGTTATTCTTGAAAATCGCCCTGCCCTCCTAAAAAAACGCGGGCAGGTAACATAAATGCGGGGAACGTGGGCGGGACAGAGCCTACGCCCTGTAGATTGCGTGTCATCCACTTGCAAAATCAGCTTTGTCTACATGGAAAACATCAATCCTCACTGCAGTCCCGTGCACAAACTTTTTTATGCTTATAAATCATTTTCCTGCAATATTTCATTCAACTTCCCAAGCACCCAATCGGTAGACAACTGGGAATTACTTTAACAAGACACCTTTCTTCCAAAGAACACCCGAAATACCACCTGAGAATCTAAAATAGCACGAGCAGCATTCCACCTTCGGCCTCTACGTCACCTTCACAGCACGTGAACAGGGTGGTGGAGGCAGCCAGAAGGCACAAGCAAAACCCATCTTCTCTGGTGCTTGTTATATTATTATTATTGTTTTTTTTAATCCCCACCCGAGGATATTTTTCTACTTATCTTCAGATAGAGTAGAAGGGAGAGAACGGGAGAGAGAGAGAGAGAAACATCGACCTGAGGGGAACACATCGACGGCTTGCCTTTCACACCACCCCTGCCAGGGCTGGGGACAAACCACAACCGAGGCATGTGCCCTTGACCGGAATCGAACCCACGACTCATTGGTCCGCGGGCTGACGTTCTACAACTGAGCCAAACCGGCCAGGGCTGCTTGTTATATTAACAATTACAGCCAGTGATTCTTGAACGTTTACTGTGTTCCAGTAACAGCCTAAGTGCTTGTCCCAGGCTTTGGTTTCCTCACCCCACAGTGTTCATGAAAGCAGCGAATAAAACAAGCATAGGCTCCCGTATGCAGTGCCAGGCTTTGAGTTGAGGTTTTCCACAATCTTGTGAAAATGGTACTCTTAGTAATCTGATATCACAGATAAGAAAGCTGAAGCTCAGAGAGGGTAAGTAAGTTGCCCCAGGTCACACAGCAGTAAGGTCTCAAAACCAGGCCTCCCAACCCCCATTCTTGTCCATGTGGACTGCACCCAATACTCGCAGTCCAATGGATTGGCAGCACGGGTCAAGCATCCTTCCCTCCGCCCTCATCTAGCATCCGGCCAGAGGAGAAAGGATCTAACTCCTGTAGAGGAGATACAATTTCTATTTCCCCAAATAAGAGATTAAAGTTTATGGCCTTGGCAGCCCTAGCAGGAATGGCCCACGATCGTGAATAATAGAGGCTTTGTCTCTACAACTCCAAATATCCAGCGGCAAAGTGAACAATTCCGACTTCATACTGTTTCCAAATCTTCAGATGGTTGGCAGCATGAAGGGAGCTGGGCAGAGTCCAGGCTTTTGGTCATAAAAGCCTGGAGTTGACTATTGACTTTCTGTCTTACTAGCTGTGTGACCTCTAGTTAGTTATTAAACCTCCCTGGGCCTCAGTTTCCACTGATGTATAATGGGAATAACAGCTGCTTTGTGGGATTATTGTGGAGATTACATGAAACTACATGTAAAGTGCCTGGCATTCAAGAGGTAGCCAATAAATGCTAGCCCACTTCCCCCTGCCCCGCCCGGCGGATAGCTGTGAGGCCCTGCAATTTGCTTCCGTGAAGCACCATCTGACTTCTAGATGTGTAGCAGTGACTGTTACGGGAAAGAGGAAGACAGTGCTATGACAATGCTATGACCCAGGGACAAGATCAAGGTCATGCTCTTCCACAGAAGACCTTCTGCATTTGAATCTTAAGAAATGTTTCTGAGAAACCTCAAAGTAACTGAACTACTTGCCTTGTATAGTTCAACCTCCTATAACCAGGGTTGTATGGAAGGCAACCAGTGTTGGGGAAAAACACAATACGGCCTTATCCTTCTAGAAAAATGTTGTTTCACGCTGCTCAGTACAGGCAGTGCCAACTCTGACGAGGCCACTGAAGTGTTGCAATGAGGAAGCAATGAGACTTGCTTTTCTTTCTTTCTTATTTTTATTGTTGACCGTATTACAGATGTTCCCCTTTTCCCCCAACGCCCTCTACCCAATCCCAGACCTTCACCACCCTGATGTCTGTGTCCATGGGCTATGCACATATGCATATATGTTCTTTGGTTAATCTCTACCCGCCTCCCCAGGGGGACTTTCTTGAATACACACATCAGAGCAGTTCACAGTCATCTTGTTGATGGTTTCTCTGAGTCTGAAGAAATTGCTGAAGCGCTGATGAGAGGCAAACATCTGATTGTATGGTGCGGTGGAAGGAGAAGTGGGACTTGGGAGTCAGAACTCCAGGGGTTGAATTGTGATCCCTGTATTACTCGCTGAGTAACCTGGGCAAGTTACTGGGTTTTCTGAGCCCCAAGGTTTCTTCACCCATAAGAGGGGATACTAAAAGCATAGGCTTTCTGAGCTTGACCTCTGGTTCTCTAATCCGAGTCTCATCAGAAACCCCTGAGGGATTGTTAAACCCCAGATCCTGGGCCCCCCTCCTACATTTGGGGTGGGCCCAAGAATTTGCCTTTCTAACAAGTTCGCTGATGCCTTTACTGCTGGTTCAGGGGACCTCACTTTAATAAGTGCCGATTGTTCAAAGGCAATACAATGAAACATACTAAAGACCATTCTGAACCGTAGTGATAGTGGTGGCAGGGAAGACCGTGATGATGACGATTGGGTCATTGCTCCCTTTTCTCATATGATCTTTGAATTACTAGGTGCGGGCAGAAGAAAAAGCTGGTGATCAACAGTGGGAATGGAGCCGTGGAGGACAGAAAGCCAAGTGGACTCAACGGGGAGGCCAGCAAGTCTCAGGAGATGGTGCATTTGGTAAACAAGGAGTCATCAGAGACCCCAGACCAGTGTATGACAGCCGATGAGACACGGAACCTGCAGAACGTGGACATGAAGATTGGGGTGTAACACCTACCCCGTGACCTTCGATAGAAATCACACATAACCATTACAGGGAGCTGGGACACTCACAGATGCAATGTGCTACTGATTATTTCATTGGGGTTCTTTTTTTTAGCATAAAATTTTCTACTCCTTTTTGTTTATTGTGCTTTGTTTTTTGAGGTCAGTCCAATTTATAAAAACAACATTGCTTTCTGAAATGAGGGCCCAATTAACAACCAGCAAGAATTCGACAGTTTCAGTTCCCGCCTAGAAGCCTTACTCCCTGAAGTGTGCTGTGGATGGCTTCTAACAAAAGCCACAGATACATCTTTCTGATCCCCAACCTTCCCTCCACCCCACCTCCCAGATGACATGTTAAAGATATTTCCAGAGCTAAGAGAAATTAGTTCCTGAAAGAAAATCTGAGTGGGTCCATATTGCCCATCCAGAAGCCCAATCCCTGGGCATTGCTTTCCAGTGGGGTAGGGGATTGGGGTGTACTGGTTACACATCCCTTTCTACTGACCCCTTGGAAATTTTTCAGATGCTTTTTTGAGAATGCCCAAAGGGTCAAGCTATTTATCTGTAGTAAGCTATTTATCTGTTTTTGAAATATTAAACCCTGGAGGTCCTGTGATTGGTATGATTTTTTGTTGTTGTTTTGTTACTTTGTCAGTGACATAAAAGGGTTTAAGTTGATTCATAATAAAACTGTACTTCTTCCACTTTTCCCCTTTGTGCTGTGATCCTTCAGTCTCTTGACCAGCCAGGTCTAGCCCCCCACCGCTCATCCGGAAGCTATGGGAAGGTCTCCCTGAAAGACTTCATCTCAGAGCTAAGTCCCTGCTCAGCCTCCCTCAATCAAATCTCACAGAAGATGGACAGACACAGCATTATTGTGCTTCTGAGGCAGGTTCCTAAGGCTTTCTGTCTTGTTCTAGAACCAGAATTGCGAGAGGAGGAGATTCAGTGGCTGGCTTGGCTTTCCCGTTTTCATGGCTACCTGTTTTCTCCCTGAAGGGCGATGAAAAGTCACATTACATTTGCATGACTTACCCCATTTCACTGACCCATTAGTGGTGTCCAAAAACAATATGGAAGCACCTTTCGATCTCTTGTAATCAAAGAGAAGCATTGGAGATGAAATAGGGCATAGATCCATAGATCGTAGCCAATTGATTTGCACAGATTGGGGAAGGGGGGAGGGAGCAGGATAGATCCTGTTTGAGTATTTTCATGGCTGAGTTTGTTTATATATCAATACTCCAATTGTCTGTCCTTGATGAAGGTGCTACTCAGAAAATTAAGTGCCTGGGGAATCTCAAAAGCTTACAGGGTTTCTCACCACTGGCGTCTTATCACCAGATACCAGGTTTATGGCCACATAAGAGATTAATGGCTTTATCCCTTGCTTGGCAAGTCCTCTGTGGTCTTCATTTATAAGTTCAGAAGGCCCCCATTCGTCCTAGAACTTCCAAAGGCTATTTGTAATAGAAGAGATTGGATCTATAAAGCAAGAACTCCTATAAAATGGGACCCTCTTCCTTAGGTCCCCCTATAAAAAGTTATCTGTTGCCTACACTAATATGCTTAACTGGCAATGTTTCTCAGACCAAATTAATAACAATAATAATCAGAAGGAGGAGGAGATGGAAGAAAAGGAAGAGAGGAGGTAAAGAAGGAGGAGGAGGAAGAGAATAAGGAGAAGAAAGAGAAAGAAAGAAGTGGAGGAAGAGAAGAAAGAGGGAGGAGAAGGGAGAGGATAAGGAAGAGGGGGAGGGAGGAGGAAGAGAAGAAGGAAGAGGAGGAGGGAGGAGGAAGAGGAGGAGGAGGAGGAAGAGAAGGAAGAGGGGAAGAAAAGAGGGAGGAGGAAAGAAAGGAAAAAACTCCTACAAAAATCAGGGCTGGGCTTTCACAAAGAGTTGATTCTAAGGGAGATATTTAAAGGAGAAAAACTTGCTTTTTGCACTCATTTACAACCTCTGCTGGCCCCTCTTCCCCCTCACAATCCCCTCCCTGCCATGGTCTTTGAAAGCTCCTTTTCTTCTTCTTCTGTGAATAGTATTAGCCACTTTTATATTCAACTGTCTGATTTTCTTTTTATTGTCAAGTTTAAAGAAAAACAAATGGACATCTGGTCACCTCGTTGTTACTGCCACTCATATCTAAGTGCTTTCCACTTTCCAAGACTTTTGCTGGCTCTTTAACCTGAGCACCAGGCCACTCCAGGCCAGGTCTGGGAGTGCTATTCTAGGCCGCTACCTGGCCTCCAGATTCTCTTTAGGGCTATGGATAGTCATACAAGTCTCATAGCTACAGATGATTTTCCACCTCTTCTAGACACTCCCAATTAATAGGCTGAGAGAGGAGATTTCTTCCTACTTTACTTTGGAATTAAATAGGATCTTTCTTTTTATTACTATTGTAGTCACCCAGCTGGATATAGCTTTGTGTTCTCGAGATAGGGATAGGGGAAGTCTAGAGCTTCCATTCCTTAGATGTACTACACCTGCAGTATCACTGAAGTTCATGGACTAGGCTATATGCTCTCCCATTTGATGTATTGGTGTAACTCCAGAAGCACAACTTGACTACATATCCTTCCTACTAGTGACTTGCTAGGTGACCTGGGCTGAGTCATTCAACTGGACCCAGTGTGTATCCAAAAGGGGCCAGCATTTTATTCTTGTGTGAAGGTTAAGAGAGCAAAGATGAGAGCTCTCCAAAGCTGAGAGCTGAAGGTGTAATTTTTTCTACAATCATAAATCTTTTGTCTCCTGAGAGCTTCCTTTAAATTAGCACTGGGTGAAAAACAAAATGAGAGAAAAGAATGGATAACCTGCAGAATGCATTTCTTCAACAGAACCTCTCAAAATGTTTTACATCGAAACTATGACTCCAAGGACCAGTTTCATAGTCCATGTTCATTCAAGGCTAGTCCAGGAGGAGTAGGAGAAAAGAAGCCTCCCACTTCTCTAGAGTAAAATGTACTTAAGTATAAGAATAACATGGTTTGTTCACCTTTGTGTCATAGTTACGCCTTTTGAAAATCATGTTGTGTTTTCGAAGAGTAGTTTATTGTTCGTATATGTCTGATGACCATTGTTAGTTTGATTTTTTCACAGCACACCCTTCCTCTGATTTTTGTATATTTATTGATGGGTCAGTAACAACGAGGAAAGCATGATGTGTATATTGCCTGGTTGAAAGCACTTATTGGAAAATATTAAAGGCCACTATTAAAAAGTGAAAGAAAATGGACTGAGGAGTCTCTGATTTAAGAGGGTGGGAACCTGGGAGGGGGCGAGCTGGGATTATCTACCTGTCTGGCTAGTTTAGAAGCACAAGGTTAAAGGTTTAGGAGGTGGCTGAAGTGTCACATTCACATTATTTTATCTAAAAGAAACAGCTTCATAGATTTCGATTACTTGAGAGACTTCTTTTGGAGGAAGTTTAATTTTCCAAAGAAGTTGTGTGGCCCACCTATTTCAAACTATGTGAGCTATCGTGAGAAGTGTTGGTTCTTTAAAGCCAAGAACTACTCCTTTACTTCTAGGTAAAGAGAGGAAAGTGAACATCCATTGCCTCATGCAAGACTCAGAAGAAATAAGAGGTATTCCAAAAAGGCATAAAGCAATGGGGTCAAAGAGAATGGAAGATGAGACAATAGTAAAGATTTGAAGCTGGAAAGTGACGGTTCATTGGTCACTGACTGAGTAAATCTGGAAAAGCTGAATCTTAAGTCAAACACGGGGAAGGATGAGAAGCAACCAGATTTGTGTAGCAGAACCCCACCCCCCACCCCACCCCCGCAACACACACAGAAGGCTCAGGAATTGGCAACATCAGCTACTTCTGGGTGTGGTGGAGAAAAGGCAGGGCTAAAATTAGGACGATGGGTCTAAAGTCTGTTTAAGACACAGTGAGAACCCCAGCTCTCCTTTCCCACTCTAAGTAGCTGAGTAACTATTCTTTCCCAATTCCAGAAAATGACGGGAAGTCTATTCTCTGAAGGGGGTAAAATAAAGAGTCCCTGACTAAAGGGCAACAAGGCACACACAGTTGACACTGGAAATACCATACTGGAAAGTGAAGCCATGCGTAAGGAATGTGGAGATGGCCTAGCCTTCTCCCCCAGCTTGGCTCCCAGAATGTCGACAGACAAGCACGGATCCTCCGGGCAGAAGTTCAGTCTTCCTGGGGAATTTGATAAGCCTGGGAGAAAACCCTAAAGACACTAACGTGATAGTTTCCCAAGGACACGGCCCAGCAAAGCAATCTAGAGTAAAGATCACATTTCAAGCCTCACCAGGACCACACGGTCTCTCTGTAGCTCACTCTTACACATGAGAAGTTGAGGCAATTCACAGAGAAAAAACTTAAAATAAGAAAGATCATTAATAACCTTAGTATGGTAAGAGGAGATAGTGTATCTATGAAACAAGAACACAATGCTAGAATAAAAAACACTCAGGAAACACCTTAAAAAAAAAAAAAAAAAGGAGCTCTTTAAAATTTAAACATGAAAGCACAGATTTAAAAATAAACTGAATAAAAGCTTTAGAAAATACAGTTGAAGAAGTGTCCCAGAAAATAGAGCAAAGACAAAGCAATGGAACAGGAGAAAAGATGAGAAAAATGGAGAATCATTCTAGAAAATCTAACACGCAAGTAATAGGAGTTGTCAAAAGAGAAAGACAAGGAAATCATCCAAGAAATAAATGAAAAATAGTTCCCAGAATTGAAGAATATGAATAACTAAGCAAATAGAACCATGTGAGTGCTCAGCACAACAGATGAAAAATAGGTCCACACCAAACACCTTATTTTAAGAAGTCATAATTGAGGCAAGGAAACTCTTCTATAATCTCTAGAGAGGAAAAAAGAATGATAATACAGAAGATCAAGAATCAAAATAAAATCAGACTTTCCAACAGCCACATTGAAGACCATGAAACAGTGCCTTCAAAATTCCGAGGGAAACGTTTCCAAGCTAGAATTCTAATTTAGTGAAACCACAAATTAAGTGAAAGAATAGAATGAAGACATTTTAAATAGGCATTGTCTTCAAACCAACTCACCCATTCCCAGGCAACTCCCAAAGGATGCACTCCATCAAAACAAGGGAGTTACCAAGAAAAAGGAAGGCCTGCGCTTCAGAAAACAAAGCAAAGGGAATTCCTATAATGATGATGAAGGGAGATTCGGAGATGACAGCTGTGAGCAGATCTAAGGAACAATCAGCTCAGATTGGTGTACTGACTAATAAATGAAACAATAAATGCCTTGGCTTCATCAACCTCTAATTAAAAAGAAAATTACTTTTTGGTTCATTGTTGCTGCATTAAAAACCACTGCAAAATGTAGTAGCCTAAAACAACACACATGTATTATTTTCCATGAGTCCACCCATTGATGGTGCTTTTGTTGATCTGGGCAGGGCTCCGTTGAGCATGACTACACTCAAGCCAGTGTCTATGGGTAACAAACAGGTCTGCTGGAATCTACGTTGGCTTCATCTGGAATGGCTGGGTGGCTGGGGACTCTTTGTGTGTCCTTCACATGCCTTCAGCTGCCTGGTCCAGGCCTGGCAGGGATCCACGTGACAACAGATGCCCACAGGCTTTTGGAGGAGTAGGCCGGAACTAGCACTCTGCATTCCACCATATACTGTTGGCCAAACACGTCACAAGAGCAGCCCAGAGTCAAAGGATGAGAAATACATTCTACCTCTTTTTTTTTTTTTTTCCATCCTCACCCGAGGACATTTCTCCATTTTTTACTCAGATAGAGCGGGAAGGAGAGAGAGGAAGAGAGAGAAACATCGATGTGAAAGGGACACATCGAGTGTCCGCCACCCACATGACCCAACCAGGGCCGGGGACAAACTGCAGCCAAGGTATATGCCCTTAGCGGGAACCGAGCCCGGGTCTCTGTGGACCACAGGCTGACGCTCTAACCGCTGAGCCAAACCGGCCAGGGCACATTCTACCTCTTAATGGGAGGCACTGCAAAGTCACATTGCAGAAAGTGTGACTACGAGGAGGCCAGTGACCAGGAACATGAGTGTCATGAGTCTGTGACAGATGTATGGAAAAATCCTTAGGTTCAAGGGCACCTCTCATGATTATGCTTAATAAATGCACAGTATTTGGCCATATTGGCAATAGTATTAATTTAGAAAACCACAAACAACTTGATAAATGCCTTGTTTATTGAAAAAGGAAGGAGCTGGATCTTGTGTAAACACCTGTTCCGGAGATTGCCTGGTCTAGTAGAAAGAGCACAGGCTTTGGAATTAGGCAAACCTGAGTTTTAACATGAACGCCACCAATGAACTGCTCAGCCCCGCTCACACATCTTAACTACTTTCAGTCTTAGTTTTCTCATCTGTGAAAGAGGAACAATAAAACCTCCACAGGGTCACCATGAGGATTAAATGAGGTAATAAGTTCATGGCATTTATCAGCTTCTCAAAAAAGATTAATTCCTTGTCCGGCCAGTGTGGCTCAGTGGTTGAGCATCGACCTATGCACCAAAAGGTCACCAGTTTGATTCTAGGTCAGGGCACATGCTCAGGTTGTGGGCCCAATCCCCAGTGAGGGGCATGTAGGAGGTGGCCAATCGATGTCCTTTCTCATCAATATTTCTATCTCTCTCTCCCTTCTCACTTCCTCTCTCTCTAAAATCAATAAAGAGAAAAAAAGA